CTCGTGTTGTGGTTGTCGTGGTAGCAATCAGCACGGTTGCTTGCTGGAAAGCACGCAGCAGGTCAAGCCACCGAGGCTGTTTTACCGCAAGACGCGCAGACAAGGTAGTCATTGTATATTACCCATTTCCTTCACCGACATCGCACTTTGACGAGCTTTGCTTACGGTAACCAGGAATGCGGGAAGCATCACCATATCCCGTTATCGAACGACAAGAAAGAAAAATAACCGGCCAATAAACCCCATTGTCCGGAGAGCAGCCACTCAAAAGGTTGCGCGGCCGTTTTGAACATTGCTTAACACCACAGACATATACCCAAAGCCACAGAGCTGGATTCAGTCTCGACCTTTGCATACCCGGTATACGTTTCTATGCTCCGGGGAAAGAGCAAGCAGCAGAATGGATGGATGGGTGGATGGGATATGGGATGGATCTACGAGGCACAGGAGGGCGCGAGACGCCGGGTCTGTTTCCCTTAAGTCACCGGTGTAACCTCACCACACTTCACAGACGGATTGTGTGCTCGCTAGTGCATGATATGCGGGCAATCACCGCAGCAACCCATCCCGTCTACCACTTCCCCCGGGTTTTGCGTTACAAGCTTATTAGGACCGCTTGTTATGCCCCAGGCTACCAGGTTGCCTTGTTGTAGAGGCAGGTTTGGGGGGGACCGGAGTTACATTGGACCGAACCGGCTCTTGTAGCGATACAACCCGGTGGGATACAAGTTTGCTCCTCCTTGGCCCCCTGGCTTGTTCTTGGAGGCACGTGTGTAAGTAAGATGCAATTGATAGGTAATCATATCATACTTTGGTCTAGGGCCAAAGGACATGGGCAAAACTCAAGATGGTAGATTCGGTCAAGATCTTGAAGAAATGAGTGTTAATTTTACTCGCCGGGCTGCAGGAAACCATTATATGGTTGAGTGTTCTACGTGATCTAGTTTGTGGCGGTGGCCATGAGAGAAGGAGGCTAAGTAAAAGTGCTTCTCTAACCACACCATTAACTCTGGCTACCCATGCCTTACATCGCCTCGGCAAGCTCAGTCACTCGGTCACAGTTTCTCTCACCTCGGACTACACCCGTCGCACCTTCCTTTTTACAGAAGAATTGACACACCAAGTTGTTTGCCATCGATAGCTCCTTCCCTCGTCTCTGCATTCAAGTTCTAGGCAGGAAAGAGCAGATATTACACCCAGGTTGGCAGGAGCATTGAGACCTGCGTCAAAAAATTTGCTGTGCGGGGTGGAAGGATAAGACCGGATGCTGAAGGGGAAATGAAGAAGGAGTGAATGGAGGCATAAAGTGAAAGTTGGGAGTGGAAGGAACTTACACAATACCCAGGTAATTACAGGAAAAGAGAAGATCATAACAGGTAGAGGGAAAAGAGCTCACAAAGATCGACTCAAAGAAAAGCAACTAGTTGAATTGATCTACAAGGGTATCTCCCACGGCCTCCTTCAAGCCATTACCATAACCATTAAAACCACTTCCCCGCGCTCCCCTCCGAGTCTTTGCCCTTCTCTATTACTTCTAGGTTTCCCAGCGGTCCACTTTCCCGACTCGGGCATAGGGAGCTGGCTGTCACATTATCGTCGTATCCATCGACTTGGTCATCTTCATCGCCATTGGATGTATAAGGCGGCTCCTTCTCTGGGAGTGTCTCTCTCATTCCCTTTTTCTTATCAGAACCGACGATATCGTTCACTTCATGGCTTGGGTGGTTTATTCGAGAATGAATCCTGGGTACCTCAGCAGGCAACTCACACAACAACAATCCGTCAGCCCCTCCCTGTTGATGGCTCCCTACTAATAGTCATCGTCCTGTTGGTGTCAGATTCTTGCAGCCCGAAATAGCGGCTGGGGTGAAACACTCCTCTGGCAACTCGGCGAGGTGGCTGTGGAGAGGAGAAGGTTTTCGTTTTGCCCATGGACTGAAGAATCTGAACGTGGTTCTTGATCTTGCCGTTGTCTTTGTTGTTATTGTTGCTGCCGGTGACGATAGATGAGAAGAAGGCGTGAATGACCATGGTGATGGTGGTGGCATAGACAAAGAAATTCTGCCCCAACCTCATCCTGGTTAACCTCATCCTGGTTGTCGTTGGCATGGGTTTTGTTGCCGAACTGTTTCCGAGTGTCCCGGTCGGTCGTTATGGTGGGCGAAGGGCTTGTGTCCGCTGAGTGCTGGTGGTAAAAGAGACAAGAGGTGGTAGCAGCCGAGCCATTTTTTCCATTCACATTGCTCTCCTGTCTGATCTTGCTGTCTCTCTTTACTTTTTGTTCGGACAGCCTCGATCTCTCGCTTCTCTCCCCCTTCGCACTTTCTCTGCTTCTTCTTCGTATTCCTAGCATCCATACACCTCACCATCAACAGCGTCAAACAAATCAACGCAATCCCACCAATCACACCTTCAATAATGCTCCCAATCCTACTATTCTGTTGCTCTTGCTGCTCAGATGAAGGATCTTCTCTTTCTGTTTCTCCTCCGCCTCCTCCCTCCTTTCCAACGCTACTGGTAGCAGTGACAGTCACAAGCGGAGGAACCGTATGTGGAGTGATGAGGCAGTCGATGGTGGTCGGGTAGGCGTTGCAGCCGAAGCGGCGGTAGACTTGAGCGTCGGCCGAGGTGCTGAAGCGAAGCTCTGAGATGGCGCAGTAGGGGTTGTTTCCTGTGCTGTCAAATTTTGGCTGTTAATCTTCTCGTCATCACAAAGGAGGCAGGAGTGCCCGGCGACGATGCCTTCTGATTATGACGTTGGTTGGTTGATAAACAGCTGCGATAACTCATTCCTTCCAAAAGCAGGCAGTGTCGTTCTTTCCTTCCATCTTCTTTTCTTTTCATCTCGAAAACGGTTCTTCCCACCAATACAACCACCCCCTTTGGAGATATGAAAAAAAGAAAACAAGAAAGGTACTAACCAAGTCTCAACCCCCTCAAACCTCTTCCTCCCTCTCTCTTCTCCCACAACACCACACCCCCCAGGCCCAGCAGACCCCCCAGAATCCCCAGCACCCCCCTTACACCCAGAGCCATCATCAGGCTTACACCCAAACTCATCTACACACCCTCCCCTCCACCCGCCGCAGTCCCTCTTCAAGTTCAACTTCCCGTGGTGTTTCTCTGCAGGATCTTTGCAAAACCCGTACAACCCATCTCGCAGGTCCAACACGCATATTTGACCTGGAGGTGGCTGGATAGCGTCTTCGTAGTCGCTGGAACGGTAGCCGCAGGCGTAGAGGCTAAGTACGTATTTCCAGCCGTCGTCGCCATCATCGTCGTCGTCATCATCGTTGTCGTCATCTTTTGAGGAGGTGGGAAGAGAAATACTGGTGGAGCGTTTCCATAGCAGAGGGTGAAGATGATGGCGGTTTTGGTTCTGGTGGATGTAATGGAAAGAAGGGGCAATTGTGGTAGTGGTAACTGGTTGATTGATGCTATTGTCGGCTGTAAGGTATCTTGGCAGAAGGCCTGGGGCGGAAGTGAGTGTCGTGATGACTGTGACGGATACCGCTGCCATTTCTTCGAAACTTTCGAAACTTCGACGATGTAGTATACTGTGTCACTGCGACGGACTGTAATTTAGCAAGAAGTAAAAATCTTCGTGAGAAAGCTCCTCATTTTGTCACGAGCTTGAGGTAATTAGGTAACATGAGAGTTTTTTAACAGGTGCCTAGCTCCCCCAAACCCCGAGTTTGATCCCAGGGGAAGTCAACAAAGAAATATGAAGACGGCTCAAAGAAAATTGGTATGGAACCACTTCCCGGTGTTTCGAATAAGAATATCCAATTAGCTATGCCGTTCGTATAATCCTCCCTTGGTGTCATTTCTCTTCTCCATGTTGACCGAGTCTACCTCTATACAATACTACTTGCCTGCGCAGTCGATGTTGTCATGAGGACAACTATCAAATGCTCTGTCTGATCTGGTGAACGGGGATAGCATAGGAAATTTCTAGATCCAATGCAAGGGAGCGGCGTTTTATCAAACCAATATGTTCGAGCCCACGCATTGTCTATACCGACGTCACAATGTGTATGCTGTTGGAAACTTGATGGGGGCATCAAGGACTTGATGTAAATATAAGGATCGTTTTATGCAGACCTCGAGGCCTATCAGACGGATGTCATTCGATGAAGTCTCTGTGTAACTTAAGTCACTTCATTGGCTTCGTTTGGTGAGTACCAACAGATCATGTGCTACAACGGCAGACTTTGCTAAGCCTTGGAAAATTGGCCGTCAAAGAGCCGTTCATCAAGAATTGGCCCCTATCTTGAAGATTGGCAGCCCCCGATAGGGGCTTAACTGGTAAATCGTGTTCTGTTGGTTTCATAGAACGCACATAAAACACAATGTAGTGCTCTATTTTACTAGTGAGCATGTGATCATTGCAGAAGTTTTGGAGGACAGGCCCGAGACGTACTCATAGTTGTTGAACCCAGAGAAGAGTGGACCTTGTTGCACTCCTTACTGGCATTATTTTTCATGTCGTTATCGTCTGATTTCCAGGGATTGTCTAGAGCAAAAGACGACGTATTCAAAAGAAAACAGAACAAGCAATGGCGAAGGGGAGCCAACACCTGAGACCAGCAGCAGTAGGGAACAAATATTAGAAAGACGTATGACGATAGAGAATGAAGAAAGACAGTCCCGTATAGCTCTCGATCCAGACTAAAACAGGATCAATGAACTCGAGCCGGATTAGAAATGAGTCTAAGTATACTTGCGGTCCGGTTTCAACCAAACCGGAAAGACGAAAACCGGTATCCAGAAAAAAGAAAGTAAGCCGAAAAACGAACAACGAACAACGAAGGGTATCTACTCGGAATCGCAAAGAGAACAACATCGAAGCTGAGCCAAGGGTAAAACAGCAGAGCCAGAGGAAAGGAAAGAAAACAACGCAAAAAACAACATCACCCATACCCGATCCAAATTCAGAACCCAAACACGTTCGTATCTGAAGGCAAGCCGGTCGCGGTTCTTTTTATCCGTCCGTCCGCTCATTTGTCCCTCTTCTTCTGATGTGCCCTCCACTCTGTCCTTGCCACCTTCATTAGTAGGTCCTCATCCTTAACCGGTATCCATGACGTAAGTGTTTTCATCGCATTCTCGAAATCCGCATCCAGCAAGACGTCTCTCAAGGCGTGAATCAGCGCCGCACTCGTAGCGTGGAGGATGTCCAAACCTTGCGGTACTTCTGCAGCTGTTTGGTTTAGATGTCGTTTACTCCTACGCTCGCTCAGCTTCGCCAGAAAGCTTCTCTCCTTGGAAGTTTTGGATGTTTGCTGGGTGTCAGCGTGTTGTAACTGTGGTGTAACCTCTGCTGAGCCTCTTCCGGAAACTTGAGGGCCTAATTCCCCTTCAGGTGGGCACTCTCCCAGAAGCATAAAGATATCCCATACACGAAGTTGGGCGGCAAATGGTATTGATAGGTTGAAGAGTGTGAGATACCACCTTGTCCCATACGCCGTGGGGTCAATAGCTAATTCAGTCTGTGAGACAATCATGCGTTAGTACAGCGCAAAAGACACATTTTTCTGGTGCTGGTGACTTACAAGTTTGGAAGCAACGTCCTTCCCCGCAAGCCAATGTTTCTCAAAGTCGTCCAAGGTGGAAAGAAGCCCTTCGAAATTTGGCGAATACAGCCTCGAAAGCCCCCGATACCTCCAAAGGCGAACCATCATGATAAAACACCTCTCCTCATCATAATAGCACAGTAAGGTGGCTGCCAGGGGGGCCATTCCCTGAACATAACCTGTATCAGGGAAATACAACGAGATGGCGTGTAAAACGCGGAAGAGTAGACGCTGGCCTCCACTATATCGTTTTCGAAACATGATGTGACCATTGACCGTCCTGGGTACATCAAGATCAATCTGGACGTCGTCGGGTGAACTGATATCCTGAAACCTCTTAAATGCCGCGATGAGCACTTCATCCGTTTCAGTACTATTCGCATTCTTTGCACTTGTCGCAAGGAAGGAGAACCAGGCTGCAGAGCGCCAGCAGTCGGGAATTCCTTTCCAAGTGCGTTCGATAAGCTTCGGGTTTTTCGTGTCGAATTCAAAATTCATGCCTTGACCTAGGCCTTGGCCTTCGCCCTCACCGCCGTCTTCCAATGGGAACCTCTGGACGACCTTTGCCATTTTCCTCCATTTCTCGGACCGTTCCAATTCTTTCTTCTTCAGGCTTCGGTGCTTTTTTTTTCCCGCCACCCTAGCTGCGTACTCCAGGATATCGGTTAAACCACCCGCCGGAAACGCCAGCATATCCCCAGCTTCGTCCATCCATCGTCGGTCCCGATTTGGAGGTAGGTGGTTGGTGATGGACCGAAAAGACGATCGCGTAGATCTTCGTGATACGTTTGAATATTCCGAGGTAAAGGTATGTAGGGATCGCGCGGACACCTTTCTGCTCGGCGGGCGTCCAACAAGGCCTCGGCCAAGGGGAGAGGAGGAATAAGCCGAACCGGGCCGTTTCGTCAACACGTTCCTTCTCCTAGGTGAAAAGTGTCTTGACCTTGATCCTGGCCTGACTGTCCTACTCGTTTCTGGCCTGTAGCTGGTTTCTGGCCTTGCTGGCCTCTCCTTGATGAAGCCGTATCGGTCAACTTCAAGTCCGTCCAGATTCTCCCAATTTTCTAGCCCGCCCGCGCGTTCGTGCTCGCCCCATCTCCTAGTACCAGGTCGGTGATAGCTCGCGGCATCATCCCGTAACGACGAAGAACTGGCCCATGGGGCTGCGGGTGGTGAGGGCGCAATGGGGCTCGCGGCCCAGTCGCTCGAGCTCGGAACATCTAATCGAGGAGAGTCTCTAGGTAGTTGAGAAGAGGAGCGAGTTAGCAGGGTGGCCAGCGCATGGTGAGGTGTGTGTCTTGGTTCAAAAGGAAAGCCGTACACAACATCTGATGGGTCTTCCTCTGAAGGTAGAGGCGGAAGATCGCCAGCGAACGAGACGCGCCGCCCGCCATCTTGCCAATTGAAGCGATCACCATCGCTGGATTCATAGAGCGATCTCACCTTTTGTGATTCCCTCTCTACGTCCATGGGCATAACGCGGATACTGGGCAGCGGGGCGGAGGGCGACGCTGGATCCTCATTGATGGTGATGGACGGGCGTGCCAGTCCAGAGGCGTCACTGAGGCGCGATGACCTGGTGGAGCTGGCTATCTCTTTCTCCCTTTCCGTTTCCCTTTCCTTCTCCGTCTCGTGGTCCAAGTTGTCCAGGGGCTGCGCTGCTGCTTCTACAGGTACTGCGGGTGGTGGTGTTGTGGGAGCTGCTACATGCGCCGTGCTGGTAGGAGGTGTAGGGGCTTCGGTTCCCTGTGGTTCCTGTGCTGCGTCTGCCAGCTCGCCGTCGTCTCGTTGCGTGTTGTCGACCGGAGTATGCCCCCCAAACATGATACTGCCGCGGTTGGAAAAGGATAGGCTGCCAAAGTCGACTGCAATACGGTCCTGGGAGATGAGCGTGTTAATTGGGCTGAAGGGGCCGTTGACATTGTCAGCTCCAAGACAGGTCTGGGCAGGGGAACTAGAAGAAGCAATGGAAGCAATGAGAGCCTGGGAGGGCTGGTTGTCTGGCTCCAGGAGCCCCCAAGGTCCCTCTAGCCCCTTGTCCGGCCTGCTAGCGCCGACGGTGACGGCCAAGGAGCTGCCGGTTGATGAGCCAACGCTACGGCGCTGCAGGCGTGGGGGAGTTCGCAGCGCCTTGGGTGATTTGGATGAACCAAGCGAGCCCCGCATGGCGGCTTTGTCTGCGGTAGACGCACTGGCAGATGCTCTAGCGTAAGGGGTACTGCCGGGGGTCAGCGTGCTAGATGAGGCCCTGGACTCCCTGGAGGATCCATCCGCTTCGGGAAATGCAACCTTGTCCCTGTCGTCCTCTCCACCAACCGAACCAAGGGATCCAAGGGTCTTTTTGCGCGTCCTGATCTTCCTTGTCTCCATCATCGACTTCGACCGGACAGTTGCCCTAATGCTGAATGTCTTGCCAACTATCGATGCGCTGAGGCTGCTCCTCTTTGACGCCTTCTTCAACGACCGTGATGGCGACGGTATCGGGGCTGGGGCCAACGCCCTCGAGGCTGCTGAAGGAATACACAGCTTGTCGTCGGTGATCCCTGGCGTTTCTATTTCCGGCTGATGTACGCCGTGGGCGTCGTCGTCGCGATCCTTGACGTCAATCGCGATGCCTGAGGAGGGGGTATCGAACGCCTTCTCGGTGTTCTTTATATCAGACAAACTGCCGTCGCCGAGGTTATCACTGTCAATGTCGTCCTGGAGTGTGATAGACGATGAAGTCGGCGCGCACGAATCTCGCTTCGACTCGATGTCGCTAATGATGCTGACGGTCTGCGGGCGGGGGCGGAGATGAGGCTCTAGTCGGAAGAGGGGATGGTCTTCGGGCGGTGGAGGGATTGCTGGACGGACAACAACGATGGGAGTGACCGAGGAACGCGGACGGATCGAGACACAACGATGGGGTGGTGGAGGGAGCGGAATGGGCGGTTCGGCCTGTTTTGTCTGTTCATAACGGATGCCGGCCAGATCGGGGTGGTCTTGTCTAAACGAGGACAGCCGCCGAGTTCTCAACCTCACACTTGGCCTGTGGCGCACACTTGCCGTCTTCAAGGGTGCCATGTGTGAGGCACGCGGCGAGTGAGGAGCGATGGGAGGGTCGGGGTATACGAGAATAGGGTTAATCATGCCGGGTTGTTGGATACCGGGCTGGCCGCTTGTTTGCTGCTCTTTCCCGCGCTGGGGCCGCCCTCAGAGCGTGGCAGCTGATGGCTATAGCAGTGGCTATGGCTGCTACCTCTATGGTGGGAGTAGGTAATAATGATGGTCCGGGTATGGTGTTACCGTGCTGCGGTCTGTGGCACTTGTGTGTCTGACGTTGAGTACCTAGGTAAGGTAGGTAGTCGAGGCCCAGAGTTCCTGCACGGAGGAGGCAGAAACCAAGAGTAAGGTCGCTGACAGCAGAAAACAGGATATCATCCAGGAGGCGGCGTGGGAGATGCGTATAAATCCGGGAAGGCGTCAGGTTAAGGGCAGGCTCTGATTGTGCAGAGTCCGAGGCTGAGGTGATGTTGAAAATAGCAAGACTAACGATAATCCTCGGATGGGGTTGCTGGCTTGCAGCAGGCCTTGAAACTTGAGGGTATGACGAGCGGAGGGGAAGTTTAAGGTGAATGGCTGGGGAATACCATCTTGAGTTCTTTAAGAGCCATCCCAGTTTGAGGGCAGGAAGAACGGGAGCGACAGTGACTGATGTATTCCAAGTGGGAGTAAAGCTCCCTTCCCTTTCCAGATCGAATTTCCTTCCTGTGGTTCAGGGTTCTCACCGGACTCACGCGACCCTCCAACCCAAGTGGAAGGAAGTACTTGGCTTAGTACAGTCGAAAAGTCGCACCAATGCGCGAGCAGCGATTTCGAAAGCCTCTAGCATCATCTTGCTCCCTTTTCCGGTACTCGCGAAAGTATTCCACCTCCACAATTTCCCACTATGCAGTCTTGATGGCGGCCATGGCGGTTGTGGGGGATTATGTCGCCGCCACTCTTTGCCAGCTCCTGTTGGCAGCCCTTATTGTGGTTGGGCCGATTGTTTGCTCGGTACCTTGCCCACGATTCCCACGACGCCCACAACGCCATGGCCCCAACTTGTATGTACACTACATACGCTATCTAACGGGATGGGCATGTGCCTGCAGGTAATGAGGGACTGCGGGCGCGGGCCGGCGAGAATACTACCCTCTAATCACAAATGATCAGGGCGAGTGTCGCTAGAGCAGTGACGAGGTCCCGACTGAGACACTTTGGACGATCAACATCTCAGAAGCTCATCACCAGCCGAACTAGTCCAACACATGTCGCCTACCTATTACACTTGATCAAAGCTGAATGGGTTCGGCGTCGCGCCGTGCTCTGGAGAACGAAAAGGCAAGGAAGCCGGTAACTTATATGCTCGCCCGGCCTCACGTTGCAAATTACACCCATTCAACAAGGTAACGTTGTCGCCGATACAAAGGAGACACTTACCGAGCATCCAACGCCAACACATATGTGTGACAACACACAAACACAATTTATCCAGCTAACCGATTGATTGACAACCACATTCTATACAACAAGGAGTCTCTGTGCCACTTGAAGTCCCAAATGTAAAGGTAGCCAATATCTTATTCACGTTCTCATGTCTCTGCTAATGTAAGAAACCGTTAAAACTGGCGGTCTAGAAGCGGTAATCCGCCAATGTTCCAAGTTTCATCCATCAGCCAGGCCAACTTCCGAGGTAGTATCATAACAAGTTATCTGCCTAGCTGCTACCACGCAACTTGAGGGGGCGCCTCTCAGCTTGATCAAACGGCCTTCAATCCGATGAACTCACGGTACACCAAGTGTAACAGTCTGTCCATTCTATTCTACTGGTGGTCGCGATCGTATGTAGGAGGGAATTCCATGCATCATTGGACAAACGGGTAACTATTGAATGACAAGGTTCGTCTTACAAATGCCTAGTATGTACGTTGTCAAAAACATCCTCGGCTCCGGCTCCGGCTCCGGCTCCGGCTATGGCCAAGAACGTTCCCAACTCGACCGGCTTCCGTCGGCTACTGGCAGTTATCACGTTTCAGACTTCCAAGGCATTTACTTGCCCCAAGCCAACCATCAGAGAGTCGGGTTATCCAGCTCAGAGCCAAAAAAAATAAACAGAACCTTGGACTTGTGAGGGTATCGGCATTATGAGAGTAAAAACCACTTCCCGTCCATATTACCTCTCCCCTCCCTAGCAGGCCTAGTACCCCTCCCCTCATTTCACACAGAAAGCTTTCCGTTCGTCGTGCTACCTACTTACCCGTCAACCAACCAACATGCTCCTGCCCCTTGCATAAGAGCTTGCATCCGATCCCAACGGACGGCGGGACGGATGATCCAAGCGGCCGGCGCGGCACAGAGCTTGCCTGGCTGCCTTCCATATTGACAAGACTGGTATTATCTTTTGTTCTCTAACTTTGCGCTTGTATCTTCGGCTAGTTCAAGATAAGATTACCCGAGGAAATAAGAAGAACAAAAGAGGTGTTGCACAATACCTGTATTTATTCCTATCAAGTTTAAGGTTGTAAACCGATCGTGATCAGGTACATCTATGTCACGTTGAAGAAAGTGATGAACACGTACATATGATGCGCAACATGGCGACGTGTCGAGGTGCGAGTCGAATTTGTACCTCTCGTGCCCCCCATAAATACCTATGGTTACTGTCTGTTGCATCTCGCTTCGCTCCTTAGATTGCAAATTTCTTAGACCAACGAACAATAAAGATCATTACACTTTCTCATTTCTCGCTATACAAGAGGCAATTCTGTTACCTGTCAGCCGCTCTCACTCCTTCCGGCCCCAAGCCTACACCTCCAGCCAAGCAGTTGTTAGGCATCTCTAGAGACCTTATCGATGTATGCTACTCAGTCAAACCAGCCAAACCAAACCCCAAGTGCATTCAAAAAAGATAAGGATTCTTATTAAAACTTCATTCGTAATTGCTGCAACCCTACTCATCACAGGTGTGTTCGTGCCGCTTGCACCTTGAATCTAAACCTCCTCATTCTCCCAATCCTTCTCCCCAAACAGCGGCGGTCCTTTCCTCCCTCCACTATTCGCCGCCTCAAACTTATCCAGAAACTCGGGCGGGATACTCGGTATGTACTTGCGTTCCCTCTCCCTGTTCACTCCGCCAAACCCGGCCCCGTAGCTAACCAGCATGTCTGTCATGCTGGGCAGGGTAAAGGGGAGCATGAAGGCCGGATCGAGGAGCAAGTTAGCCGGCGCGTCCTCGTCGTCGTCCTCACCGTCTTCGCCGCCTCCAGGACCCTCGGATGACGTCGTGGCGCCGCCCGGAGTGGACGCCCAGGGACTGCCGTTGATGGACCGGCTGATGGGCGTCACGGGCGTGCTGATGCTGCCATCACCGCCCCGCTCCTTGATGGGCGATGTGACTGACAACTGCGACATCTGTGACTCACGCTTGCGCTCCTTGCGCATGGCCTGCAGGGCCGTCAAATACTTCATGGCGCTCTTGGGGAGGCCCTTTTCGCCGACCTCGGAGCGGTAGTGCGTCGCGGCATGGATCAGCTGCTGGGGGCTCAGTGCCTTGAGCTGTTGGAGAGTACCGACGAGCGCCTCGAGGTCGTCGGCGCCCAGCGACGAAAGTACCTGCAACCATTGCAGGAGCTGGATGACGGGGGCGAGGTGGCGGCGCGCTGCCTCCATGGTGGTCTCCCCGCTCGACTTCATCTCGCCGCCTTCATAGTGCTCAGGTTGTCGGTTGTTGGTTCTAGCCCAATCCTCCAGGGCCGAGATGTTCATGCGGATCTGCATAGCCTTGGTCCGCGCCAAGTACTTGCGACTGGACATTATGCGGTTGAAAAGTTCGGCGCCGAGCCAGTATATTAGTTGTGAGATGACCTGTGCCGTGATGACTGAGTGAACGTCGTAAAGGTCCAGGACAAAAAGCGTAGAGGAAAGTAGTGATGTGACGTTCCGCGGAGACGGCTTCGCCCTCTGCTTGGGGGACGGTGGCCTGAAGCGCTTCTCCATGGGCGGTTCCTTCACCTCCTTCTTGCGCTTGAAGATCGTCCACTCCCCTTGGAACTCAATGTTTTCGAAGCCGGGAATTGTTTCATGGTCTAGCATGCCGGCATCCAGCACCTTGTCCAAACGTCTCTCGGCATCCCGGACAATAAGAATGAATATCTCGTTGATCAACTCTGCAAGCTGCGCTTGAAATTCGGTAGTGGCTTCTACCAAGCCGGCGTCCTTCTTCAGGTAATGTAGCAGCAGGGTTGCGTTGGAAACCCAAAAAGCCAGGATTGTCATATCCCACTGATATCTCTCCACGACATTGTTAATTTTGTCCATGGCAGTGATCAGTAGCTTTGCTAACAATTCACGGCTGGCATGGTAATGCGCATATCGAGCCCCCAGGAAGATCATGTTCGCGGGTACGGGTTTTTGTGATGGTGATCGTTGCGGGGTCATGTTGGTGATGACGATGTCCAGGATGCTGTCCAGTTCGCTCTCCTGGAAAACAAACATTTGGTCGTGGAGACACCTCGCCCAGTCGAACTCTTGCTGCTCTTCCTCAAATTCGTCAACAGGCTAGCGCATAGTCAGCATAGCAACACGGTGTGAGCGGGAAGGGAATCCCGGGTAGAGGGGAGTGCGAACCTCGGGTTGGTCATCCATGCCCACGTTTCCTAGATCAACTTCCAGATCACGAGCACTCTCCATCATCATTCTCCTGCGCATCTCGTTCTCAGCCAACTCTTCCTCGAACTTGTCTTGAGAGAAGCCAGGGTTGTAAAAGTCGTCGGCACCGGCCGTACCAATGCCATATCCGCTGTCGTGGAGATAGAAAGACATGTCACTGTCTGGGGCAACAAAATCGAAGGCAGTTCGACCTGTAGAGGTCTTCTTTTCGGGAGAGGCGCCGTTGTCGAGTAGTAACTTTGCAATGCCCTTGTGTCGATTGGTCATGGCCCACATAAGTGCACTCCATTGATTGCGGTCTTGCTTGTCAACATCAGCTCCGGCGTCGATAAGGACTTGTACTACGGCCTCGTGTCCCTGTTCCATAGTTCTGTTAGTAAAGCAAACCCCATGTGATCGGTTCCATAGTGACCGGCGCCAACTTACAAAACAGCTTGCGTAGATGAGGGCCGGCGTCCCTTCTTCATCTGGCGCATTGATATCCACATATTGTCTGCATGGCCCGTCGAGGATTTTGCGAACGGACTCGACATTGCCATTGCTGGCAGCCATGATAAAGGCTCTCTGCAGGACATCTTTCTTTTCGTCCTGCGGGATCTTGTCGTCATTGGCGATCAGGTTCTCATCCTCAAAGATTGCGCTGGCCGAATGCGCGGCCTGCGCAGCCAGCATTTCCATTAGTCTAGTCTCGCTGTCGGTCCCGCCTCCCTTGGTTATGTCCTCGTCGAACTGAGGGTCGTTGAGGTGAAGGTTGCTGAAGCTCAAAGGCTTGGCCGGTATGGGTGATGTCAAGAACTGCGATTGTCCTGATGGGAGACGGAGTCAGTTACAGGCCTGGGCAGTCCGAGACGTGAAGCGAGGAATGATGGGACAATGCGCCACCAAGCCAGGGTTCCATAAGACATTCAGACATGGGGCAACGGACCTTGCCATCCATCATACATCTCCGTCTCTGTTACCAAGTGTTCGGTAGGAGCATGTCTCCTGTCATCGAGGGAGCGCGGTAAATCGGGGGGCAACTCCTGCTTCTTCTTCTGTTGTGGTTCATATGCTCCTCCGTCGCTTCCAAAACCTCCTTCGTCTCCGCCGCTGGCACCGAAGCCGCCATCGAAGCCCCCATTATCCATTGGTGCGGATCGAGCGTAGCATGCGGCGAGCGGTGTCGGGTCTGAGCGTAGGTTAACAACCTAGAGCGGCGGGTTGAATGTTCGGGCAAGGCTATAACGTCAGCGTATGGCGGGCATTCGGTTTATCCAAGATGTCGGTCGAAGTCGAACTGAAGCGCACTGCGGTCGAGGATGACGATTCAGGGCAGAGCAGGTCAGGACTCGGTGTAGAGTTGAGAGCAGGTGGAATGCGAAGAAAGGTGACGTTGCTTCTTTAGTTGGCTGGACTGTTCCTTCTCCTGAAGAAAAGAAGTGACATAAATCCGGACCAGGTAATTGCTGTTAGGGGTTCAGTTCAAGCGGTAGGAGTTGCGCCACGGAAGCAGGGCACCCAGGCTTGGTGGTCAAGTCAACGCGGGAAGTGAAAGTCGGGGCGCGGAGAGACGGTGGACGTATCGAATGCCCCCCACTGACGTTGCTACAGCTGTTATCGATTGAGGTGGTCTGTGCTTTCTTAGTGGCATTTCCATGTCTCGACAATAAGACAATTGCCAGTTCATATCATGTTCCACAGCGCGGAATGACAGCTCGAGTTTGACAGCAGTGCGATTCGAAAGCTTCATGAGCAATCAAATCGACGTATGGCTGTGTGGACTCTACAAGATGCGTCCTCAGATCTGGGGTCACCCAAATTTAAACGTCGGTGAGGGTATCTCGACCGGTGGTTTGTGGGGAAATAAGGACCCTGACTGTTATTGAGCCTAGCGACGAGCTAGTGAGCGTTGTTTGGGGCATTGACTTCTCGACTCAAATTTAAGCTTCGCATCAACCTCGTCTCGAGTGCAGCCGTGAATGTTTCTAATTTCATTCTGAGAAAAAGCTGATTGGGAATTAGAGTTGTGCTTCAAGAGCAGATGATCTTAAGACCTGTGAAATTTCTTTTCGCTGCTAAATGACTGTACTTGCCCATCATACTGAATGATTCCCCCCTTTTCATGTGGATCGCCGTTTCTTGCTCCCCATATATGCTACCACCTATCGACACTATTAACTGCTTCTGTAGCAGTCCCTTAAACAGCCCTCTTCGCAAACACCCGCAATCTCTTCACTCCGCCGTCAGGCACAATGATGAGCTTGACGTGGGTGAACGGCTTGTCCTTTACCAAGCTCTCGACAGGGTGCTCATGATCAGGGCCGCACTTGATAGGTTCGGCCACCTCTGTCCAGCCCTCAGCATCCGCACCCGGCTCGCCTTCGCCCTTCCACTCGATGGCTTGCAGCTTGACCTGCTGGGGGTAGTTGCCACGGAAGTGAGCCGTGTCGACAACGAAGTTCTGGATGTAGCCGGGCGCGCCGAGTCTGATAATGGTCCAGTCGACGTGGCCCTTGGTGCGCGAACGTGCTGTCTCCCAACCGTCACCCATGTCCTTGCCGCGGCCCGGAAGGATAAGGTTGTCCTTGGTGCCGAAGTGCTGGTCACTGCAGGAGATGGCAACTCCGCCGTTCTGGGCAGCCGCCAAGTCAAAGATGGCCTCGGTATCCTCTGGGAATACCGGTACGGCGTGTCCAAACAGACGGAATCTGGCAATGCCGCCGTCAGGGTACATGTTTAGTCGCACATGGGTGTACTGCTTCTGGGTAGGGTTCTGGAGCTTCCAGCCGAATCTTTGCGAAGGGCCGCACTCCTGGATGCCAAGAATAGTCTCCCAACCACCACGCTCGCCCTTCCACGAGAGAACCTCGTCATCGTTCTGGCTGAAGCAACCCTCGACCGAGATGGCGGGCGCATGGTTGCCGTTGAAGAAAGCCGTGTCAACCTCGACACCCTCGACGGTGCCAGAGGCGACACCCAGACGAATCACAACCCAGTCGAACTCGGCGGAGTTGTGTCTCCTTGTCTCCCAACCGTCGTACCACGCACCGGTATAAACCATCTTTCCGGGCTGGCGGATAGGGGCCGTAGGGGTGATGAGGTTGGCCGCTTCGGCGAACCATTCGTCCGAGAAACCGAGAACTTTGCCACCGAGAGCTCCCGAGATAAGATCTATATCCCATTTCAACTTGCGTTAGTTGAAAGTGTTGGATGTTATGTTTCATGAGACGGATGCTACGGACCGATTGTGCTGGAACGGAAAGTCTTGTCGATATCATCGGCGGCGATCCGGGTGGCCGGAACAGCCTCGAGCTTGTGTTCGATGTTCGACATGGTGAGTGAGATGTGCAAGGTATATGGATGAGTGAGTCTCCAGTCCTCGATGTTACAACGCGAAAGAATAGGAAAAAGCCCCAGCGTCCTCGAGGTAACCAAGAGCAGGCGGCAGGTTTTTATATCACCACAGCAACAGTCAAAGAGCGATCGATAGCTTAGTCAAGATAATGCGTTTTTAGTCAAAGTACGTAACAGCAACGACAATCGTGGTCCTTTCTTCGTCGTACCCAACCGTCGTATTTGATCTACACCGAGAGTCATCGGCCGGCTCCGACACCGATCCACCTGTAGCGACAACTTCCTACAGGCCACGGCTCCTTTTTCCGTCCTCCGCATCTCTTCGGGAGGACCTGGTGCTAGTGAGGAGGGGCCGGTCTTTTGGATTTCTGCGGCGGGGCTTCGGGCGGAGCATTTATCGCCCGATAAGCTTATCAGGGCATTCGGATCAAAAGCCACACAGTGATGATGGTGTTTTGAACACAATATGCAGGGATAGGTATCCAGGCAGTTCTACAGAGGAAGCGCTTCCTCCACACTGTGTGCGAGTTCTCACACATGGCAGAGTTACATGTGGGTTGAAAACATGGAGATTGTGATTGGTCCGAGTGTAAGTGCATCTGCAATAGTAACCTCAGCTCTTTCATCCAAAGCTCTTGTCGGTTCCGTCATCAGTGACCGCAGCTACGCAATCACCCAAATCCCATTCGTTTCGAGCTGTTGTTTGTACGCATAACTGCTGGGATTTCATCTGCATTGATTTGGAGATCTCTGTATGATATTCATACCAGTCTGTCTCATATTTCGAGGCTCTCACAATTCGGTTGCGGATCTTTCACGACATCGATGTCGATGCATATTAATATTGTTGATAGGTAAGACGAGGAACCGGAATCCCGCTCGCATCTCACCCGTGCGCCTCGAAAGCGAATATTGCATCGCCGTGCCTCGTGGATGTCCGAATGTCTCTCTTCCCCTCATCACAACACATCAGATCTGGCAGGGTACCAGCCTTACTATCCAATTTGTAACGCACTTTCGCACCCGCTTAGATAGGCAACAGGTACCACCCATCCCGAGTGTGCATGAACCATTCGTCCCCTCTTTCCTTCAATCTTCTGAATAAGAAGCCCACCTTCCCCGCGCAACCTGCCGGTCAAACCATCGTCCATCTTCTGCAGCTCGAGATCCAGACCGAAGCCAACACCCAAGCATTTACCGGGCACATTGCATCAAGACACCGGACATTTCTTGCTTTTAACACATGATACTTCTCCTCGGCCACCGAACAAGTTGCATCCATTTTCCAAAACTTGAGATAAAAGAAGCTGGAAATCATGGCTCCCTCAGAATCTACACAACCTCCTCCTCCTCTCAGCACAACTGATGCTGAGCCCGCTGTTCCCACCGAAAGCGAACCACTGCTTGGAAGACCAGGCGACGCTATTCAAAAGCCTGACGCTCCCATGTTCTTGAACCTCGTTCTTGGTAAGTTTCCTCCATCCTAACCATCATCGTCGTCGGCCTCGAACCCATCCTTCTCTCCCACATACCCTTCCATCCAAACAAACCCCCGCACCTCCAACACGTACAACCCATCCCGAGCATCCCATCCTTCTCCAAGTATACTAACCCCCTTCTCCCATTCCCAGGAACTGCCTGGCTCTCTCAACTCGGCGCCCTCCTCCTCCTTGTGACCACCTGGTCCGCCGTCTTCCTGCACAAGCTCGGCGCGCTCATCTCCCCGCACCCCCTCCTCCAATCCTTGGGAGCCTTCCTGCTCATCCAAGCGATCCTGATCCTCCAACCGACATCCACTCCGGCCGACAAGCGTACCGGACAACGCATTCACGCCTCTCTCCACCTCTTGTCGTTTCTGTCCTTCGTCTCCGGCATAGCCGTCATCGAAACAAACAAGCACGCCAACCACAACGCGCACCTACACTCCCTACACGGTTACCTGGGTGTCATCACGGGGACGCTGTTGCTTGCTCAGTACGCGTTTGGAATCTGCATGTGGCTTGTCCCTGGCGTCCTGGGTGGGGAGGACAAGGCAAAGGCTTTGTGGAAGTATCATCGGTACGGCGGGTACTTGCTGTTGGTGTTGGTGCTGGTTACGATTGGTGCCGCCGCGGATACGGATTATAGTAAGGGAGTCCTGAAAATCAAGGGGTGGACTTTCGGGTTGGGGATTACACTGGTTGTGGTGGGCGTGTTTCCGAGGGTGCAGTTGCGCAAGCTGGGGATTGATAGGTCTCGCTAGGCGTTGAGTGAGGCTCTTGGTGGTTACCTACATAGGGAGGACACAAGAGTTTGCAAGGCAAGGATAAAAGGTTCATGACAATGGGCGGCCCGGCTGAGGCTGTGTTTAAGAATGGATGGGTACCGGAAGGGTTTGCGTTTGGTATTCTGATGTTGGCGTTTATGTCTATGTTTGCGTGCGTTATGCATGGGATATCACTCTTTGTTCAACAACGGGAACGTCGGTATACGGGAGACGATATATGCTACAAGGTTTAATGGTTATGGCAGCTGGGACACGGTTGGGTCTCTTAAGTATTTTGTCATTAGTGGGAGTCTACGAATACCGGGTTCCGACATTTAGTCTTTCCGCAGAATAACGTTGGCTTCGGTCACAATAACAACATATGATCAGAATCATAAACCTTTGTATCTCATTCCTCGTCTGACTAGGGTATAAGTAATAGTAGTACGTAAATCCACGCTCTCCGCCATAAAGCATTCCCGAGAAGCATCTTTCCCATGGTATACATTTGCCACAGATTCCCCGTCGTAAACAGCGCCCAATATCCATCATCATTAAAGACGCGCGCTGCGCAGCAGAACCCAGGCAGAAGCCATAACCTTGATAGACGTCTGACTTGTCTCATCCAGTGTTCTCGCTACCATCCCTTCCCTTTCATTCCTCGTCTCGCCTATTTCGACTCCATGCCATCTTTCTTGCGCTTTTCCTTCCCTGTATCGTTGTTTTTCTCTTCTTACAAACATCGTTGATTAGGTTTGGTGAATGATAATGATCGACAGGCGTAGTACGTTTGGTTGTGCGGGTTGTCCAAACGGCAGTGTAGACGGGCAATCTGTAACCCAACAACCCGCTTGCCGTTCCGCCCCTCCCCGCTCGCAAAAGCCGTTATTAAAGCAAAGGTGTCGTGGTTAAAAAAACATGTGATCGCTCTTTCGTGTCTTCGTATCCGTGGGTGTATTTTTTGCCGTTTTGTTGTTTTTGTACGGGGGTATGTGCGAAGAAGGAGGTCCCGCCACCGTCGAGAAGCAGAAAAGAGAAGGTGGTTCCTCCTGTGCGGAATGAACGCCAGTGGAACCATGTCTTATGGAACACCCACTTGCAAGCGCTCGAGTGCTCCCAAGAACTGATCTCTGAATGCCGTTGGCCTTGGTTTTCGAGACTTCAACCTATCCTGGCCATTCTATGGGAACTGGTTAGGCGGAACCGATGGCCAATCATCCTCGGTAATGCTGGACCAGAAGGCCCAGTTCACTACAACGGCCAGGAGGGTAAAGAGGGTTTCGAAAAGCGCGCCGTCGATCTTCCCATTTGTGCCGTCACAGATGTATCTGCTGACGACATAGTTGAACACTTGTCCAGCCGCAAAGAGGATCGCAGCGGCGGCCAAGTAGAGCATCGGGCGCCTCTCGCCGAGAACCTTGATGACAAGGATGGCCTCCAGGACGAAGTAGACGACCAGGAAAACAAGGGGCGCAAGCTGGTAAAGGACGTAGAGTGCAATGTGCCGGTTTTTGGGCAAATCATAGCTGCTATCCCAGTAGCCTGTCCAATGCAGGCCCGTATCAAGAGCAATATAGCCGGTTCCGACAAGCAGAATCGCTGCAGAACCGACAACCAAAGCCAATGAAAGCGGCGTGCCGTCGTCGAGTAATTGGTAGCCGACAATTGCGTTGAGCATCAGTATCCAGGTAGTGGCGATGATGAAACCAATGTGAATAGCCGTGAACGCCTGGACACGAGTCAGTTGAAACGAAACATGACACGAAACACTGCTTGCCGCGCTCTGCCCAGGCCAAACTTACAATGCGGACTGTAGAGTCCAGAGGGAATTCTCCCACTGAGAAGATCTCACATATCGATATAACAATGTAGCACAAGAGGAAGACTTGCATTTCTCTGTCGAGTTGTCAGTGAATCCCAGTATCCAAAATTTCCGTCCGATGTTGGGCGGGTAACTTACCGACGACCAACCGCAGCTCGTTTCCGCTCGGACCTGTAGAGCAGATACAGAGAAGTGAGGATCGCAATTGCGCATAGCAGTATGGATCCTGCATTGAGTCAGCACATATCGCGTTCATGTTTATGTAGGGTCACATACCTAGATTTCCAAGCCTCTTTCCGTTCGATAGCGATATGCCCTTCAACTGGCAGTTGTCTGAATTGTCCCATGGTCCGGACTGGCTGTGTTTATCCGAGAGGAGCTGTTTATCAAGAAGCGGCCGTGTAAGTCAGACCGACGAGCAAACAGGGACGAGGGTCCGACAGAACATGGTTCCTGCGCCGGGAACCACCGTCTCCACCAGATGGGGTAGGGCCCTACTCACATTGCAGATAGGAAGAGTCGAGTCTCGACAGAAGTCCTGTGAATATGGAGGCGCTAACAGTCAGAATTTGCGTCTCTCTGAAGAGGGGAGCTGAACGGCTTCTACGCCCACCGTCTGCGGCGTCGGGGGAGCTCACATGAAAGTTGCCAAATTGTGTTGACCCCATGGTGTCGTCTGGTATGCAACCGCTGCGATGCGGTTGAAAATCGAATTACTGCGGGGAGAGACGTGCTTCCGTGATATCTGCCGGGGTATCCCTTTGCGTCTGTCGCTCAATTGCGATGGCAGATGCCAGAATATGCGCGTGTCGACCTGACGCCGCCTTCCGCCTTTTGTGACCTTTCAATCCTTCAATGCAGATATCCTTTGGCTGGCGGTTGTTGCTTTCTGTTCAATTGGTATGATCCGTTGTCGGTATCGTGTGGGAAACGCGATGCTGTTGAAATGAAGCGCTGGTGTGTGGCGTGATTGATGGACCAGAATTGCGGACCCGACTCTCTTGTCTTTCCTCCCTGAAATTATCCTGCGCGAATCGATCCCTCCCTCCCTTGTGTGCTTCGCGTCGCCAATTGTCGTCCTTGGTGTGCGCTGTGTGCTTTGGAACCGAAGATTAGGAGTAGGTTTACGGCGATGCCCTATTATTGGCTCGAATGTCGCGGAGAAAGGAAAAAAAAGGGACGTGGAGCAGAAGCGCAGGGCAGGTGGTCCGGATGAATTTGTATGGATGCCGACGATGGGGGCGGAGAGGGAAGAAACAAATGCGGGAAGCCCACGGCGGCCTGGGGTTGGCGGGTCCGCCTGCAAAATATAAAACTCAACTGGAAGGCCACTCAGGCCCAGGGCAAGGATTTCACTGCAATGGCAGCCATTGGGACACTGGCATTAGCATTGGCAATGGCTGGGCGAGACGGCGAGTGGGTGGTCGCCAGTGGCTGCGCTCCCTCGTCGCTTCCATTCGGGCAGCGGCAGCGGCAGCAGGAACAGGCTTAGGGCGCTTTGTTTCTACTGGCCAGGACTGTGTCTCCACTCCTTTCGGCTTTTTGAGAAATGTAATTGGTTCACAGTTGCTCTAAATGGAAGCCGAGTCCCAGCCTTCTCCGAAATGACAAGACGTGACAAGCAACCTGATGGGTGGACGTTTCAACCAAATCATCCCAGCGTTGCACTTGCGCTGGTCCTCTCTGAAACTATTTCACGGGCGACGTCGCAACGCAATGGCATGCTAGCGAATGGTTTTACTATTCCTTGATTCTTGTTCTTTGCCTTCTTTCCGCGTTCTCTCCCTGCCGGATGAAGTGGTGACAAAGGGATAAAGCGAAGAAACCCATATCGAAAAAGAGAGTCAAGGCAGGGGGTTTAGGACCCAGCAACACCACCTGACACTTTAGCACCACTGACGGAGCGATCCAAAGAAGACCACGACAACTCAAACTCCGGACTAGATTGGCGGACCGTGGGTCTCGGAGCTCCAGGTCTCACTCCGCTTGACAAGCAGAAGAACGTTAGGCGCTATTCCGAACAGCCAGCCAGCCTATATCACCGGCCATTATAGCTGTCTCTCTCACCGTTGGCAATCAACATATTCGAATGGCGCGCAATCGGACACGCTGTTCGTGGGGAGAGTTATTCGTCTAAAGGGACGCAAAACATGGTCGCCTAAGGTGAGTAACCTCCATGTCAGGATATCTCATGCATGATGACCTGGACAACACACACTCGGGACGGAAGCCCGTGAGAAGCGGAACCAAACGATGTCCAGGCCGAAACCACGGGCCTCACTTTTGATGGCTTCAAAGTCAGCAAGACTGAGCCAGTCAGCAGCGTGCCCGCACACCCTTCTGCAGATTGTCCAGATGCAGCTGAGGTTCAGGCGATTCCGACGCCTGCAACAACTCCGGCTTCTCGAACACCAAGGCTGTGCGTTCCCTCCTGCAAGGCGGCATCCATGCGTCGAACTTTTCAGGCAAAGGCAAGCCCAACGGACCCAGTCCGATATGATCATGGTCCAATCATGTCCATCTTTGGCTTTCTACTCTGTACAGCCTTAAGTCGGGATTCTACGCTCGGCATATATCGACTGGTTCATTGATTCATCGTGTGGAGAGTGTCAAGAGACACTTGTATACATAATTGGCATCCTCCAATGCTTAATCTGGTGATACAAGCCCAATATGGTGTTCAAAAAGGGGAGTTCCCGTCTGTATGACGAAAATAGGTGGCTGCATGGCTACCAGGTCCGACTAGGTACGAACTGAACCGTAACGCATGCAGCTAGAATACCTAAAACCACAGCAACAAGAAAAGCATGGCCTCGTGCACTGTTCAACAAACGGGGAAAAGCAAATTGTATCAAGCCTGTTTTCTGACAAAGATGTTTAGATCCTTCAGAGCGGCTCAGTCGGTCATCTCTTTCGACCACAAAGGCACCAACGAGAGCAAGCCGGGGAGTTCTTGAGCATGTGCAGGCAGTTGTGCAGGAAATCTCGTACTGTACAAGCACACGAATGTATCACGGCCACAAAGGGTCGATACACCAAGCACACAAAGTTCTCTGGAAAAGAGGCCAAGCAATTTTCTTTCGGACGTAGTGTAATACTGGTACCCACGCCTGCCACCAGCCACTTGAAGCCACAAGGGAAGTAAATAAAGGATGCTGGCAGGAGTCGCGCTGCGCCCGGCGTGAGTGCTAATATCCACCATATTTATCGAGCGGGATCCTGTCTGCTCGAGCAGCCCAGGCACCGAAATAGGTGACTACATTGGCACAAAATACGGAGATCTCTTCATCTGTTCCAACATTCTCTCTTTGCTCTCGATTCCGCTCGTCGGGTGCTTGGGCTGTACTGTGAGACTGTCTAGCTAAACCCTAAACCTGCTACACAGGTGTACCCCTGATTCGTGCATAGCACCCTAAACGCACACGCTTACACTAATGTTCCGACTGTAGGTAGCTACCCTCATGCATCTGCTGTTTCGACAGGTTTTCTGTCATTGGGAGACGGTCGAAAATCCCATACCCCAGAGATGTAATAAACACCGAACCCTGAGGGAGGCGCTTACAGAGAAGCGAATGTTTGAATTATAGTAGGTAGCAAGAGGAGGCTCTGTGCCCGCTGACGAGAGCAAATCCAAAACAACGGGAGCGGCGGCGCGGACTGGTGTCCTGTCACCCGCAGATCCGTCGACGGGCTTTCTTTTCTTGGTGGTGGGGGGCACAGCAGACGGCCCGAACGGTTGGACGTCAAGTTAAGGTAGGGACGGTATCGTGTACTCGAAATAAGAGCATGTCGTTATTCGAGGTGGAGGCCACGGCAGAACGACGGTAATTATGCGGGCCGAGATCGCTGCCGCCGATGGAAAGTCGCGATGAAAGGCGATCGTTTCGTTCTTTTTGTGGGCTACTAAGTTCTATAAGTTGATGGTCCGGGCCTGGCACTGAGACAATGGGCAGCCCTTGAATATGATTCTACTTTTGGAATTCTAGGCCAGCCTGTAGCTATAACAGTGAACATGCTCGGGATGCTGTCCTTGATCACTTGTTTTTGGTAACCTCGGCTGGTCCGCTATTGCACAATCCTATTAACTAACACTGAACAGAGAAATAAGGAACAATAACTTTCATCTTGCTTTCCTGGTGGCCGATGCCAAGCACTGTCTACTTGTAAGACGGGACCTAAAGTCTTTCATCCTGTATGGACCGTCATCGCGTATAAGAAGGCTTCCATCCCATCCAGGTAAATAGCCTCCTACTCGTTCCTTCCTATCCTTGAAATTTTGGTCTGTCAGCTCACAGCCTATGTGCTGTGACAGCTTTGATGTTTGCATCGACACTACCTAAGAGACATCGAGTTCCCCGCGTAGAGGCCCAGCGGGTACTTTCGAGCTAACGATCGTGGGTTCGGTGTTTAAATGGATTTCTGATTTCTGGGATACGTATTCGACACTAGAGGTAGGTTGGTACCGCGCTTGACAGATTGTCAATGACTTGAAATCGCCATTTCGTTGTTTCGGAGGCAAAGTGATGAGTCGAGCAAACGTTTCATCCCATCATGGCCATTTCAGCTTTGACTTCCGTCTGGTCTGTCGGAAAGGGGCAGGCAATGCCGAATGCCAGCTGTCGATCTTGGTCGTTTTGACAACTCCGACACTGAACTTTGGGGTTGCAATCATGTGGTTGTGATTGAAGGGTGAGAAGGTTGCCGGGTTCTGCAATGATCTTCATTTGATTTGCGCGGCCTGTTATCGGTTGGGCATGTGGTTGTAACCGCGGTCTCTGCCAGTGAGAAGACAAGAGTTGAAGTCCGATTCGAATCTTTGAAAGACTGGAGACCAAAATGGTGGGTGTGGAAAGGGTGGATCACGCACGGGCGGGGCAGTGGAGGAGTGGAGGTGCGGGTGCCCGGGCCCAGGGGCTCCTCAGTGGATTGGCTGGTGCCCTGCCAGATGGGTCTTGGCGGGACCCCAGCTCCGCTTCACACGCTCATACGGGCACTACAGGGGACCTCCCGTCTTCGGCCACAGAGTCCCGGTCCTTGGTCGTGCCTGCGGTGGTTTGATGGAATTCCAGGTTTCTGTCGTTGCAGTTTCCTCACCTCTTCTGCAAGACACTACCTTACCTTACAGTCATCAGTCATCCATTGTTGCAACACGTGCACCTGCTTCCATTGCTTTGCCTCTCTGCCTTTTTGTTGATCCGAGACCCCGTGAACGGAACCCTATGCACCCCGTGAGCCGTTCAATGTGTCCGTCTCGACATCGACCGTCTCGGGTTGATCATCCTCTACTAAAGAACCACTTTCACTCTTTCCATCTCAAGGTGCGGTCGGGGGCTGCTGCAGAACAGCTCCATCTCGTCCAAGATTCCTCCTCCGCAGCCGACTCCGATTCCGAACCGTCTCCCTTCCAACATCCCCCTCCGCACGCTCCCCGCACACGCTGCTGCCCAAGACGATCCGTCGACCCATTCGCACGCCAACCGGAACCAAGCCACTTCCTCCTTCCTTGCTCCACGCCCTGCTGAGCACTCGCGATACTCGGACGACGAAGACGAAGACTACAACGTCTACGGCTCCTCCGAGTCCTCGTGGGTCGACACCGGTGACATCGCCGAGCAGCTCGATCACGAGGATCCTTTGCGCCAGAGACTGTACGATACCCTAGAGGACGAAACCCACGCTAGCGTTGTCTATCGCCATCCGAAACGTCATCGTCACGGCGGCAAGCACGTCCACTATCGCGAGTCTCTTTCCCGCTCCAGCACTCACTCCTCCAGGTCGTCTGGTCAAGCTGGAGCCGTTAATAAGGAAGCAATTCGCATTCCCGACGCCGCCCCCCGAACTGTCTCGCGGGCCGAGCGCCTTATTGCCGGTATCATGGCGGGAACACGGAACCCCATTCATGGCCTTACTGGCAAACCCCTAATCTACTTCACTTCCATCTTTGTGTCATTAGGTGTCTTTCTTTTTGGATATGATCAGGGTGTCATGTCCGGCATCATTACGTGCGTGGATCCCCCCTCTGTCGTGGCTTCTCAGATGCCCCATGCTGTCATGCTTGATAGACATAAAGGCCGAGTAACTGATGCGATCTGTACAGTGGTCCCTACTTCAAGGACTATTTCAACCAACCAACAAGCGCGCAGATAGGCACTATGGTGGCCATCCTAGAAATAGGTGCGCTCATCTCCTCGCTCATGGTCGGTAGAATCGGTGATATTATTGGTCGTCGCAAGACCATTCTCTATGGGTCATGCATCTTTTTTGTTGGCGGTGCTCTACAGACCATTGCAACCGATATGGCCATGATGATGACTGGACGCATCATTGCTGGCTTGGGCGTCGGCATGCTCTCTACCATCGTTCCGGTCTACCAGTCCGAGATCTCGCCTCCTCATAACAGAGGAAAGCTTGCTTGCATTGAGTTCTCGGGTAACATCATCGGTTACACAACCTCGGTCTGGGTGGACTACTTTTGTGGCTTCATTGAGGGTAACCTATCGTGGCGCCTCCCGCTTCTCATGCAGTGTGTCATGGGCGCTTTACTGGGACTGGGAAGTCTGATCATTGTGGAATCGCCCAGGTAAGTACAACCAGTTTTAGCACTCGGCTTCCGCGTGGCTGCTAATCAAGATCACAGATGGCTTCTGGACAATGACCATGACGAGGAGGGCATTGTCGTGATTGCCAGCCTGTACGGCGGTGGCGACATCCACAACCCTCGCGCAAGGGACGAGTTCAGAGAAATCAAGATGGACGTACTTCTGGCGCGCCAGGAGGGCGAAAGAACATACAGTGAAATGTTCAAGCGATACAGCCGTCGCGTCTTTATCGCCATGTCGGCCCAAGCACTAGCGCAACTCAACGGCATCAACGTCATCTCATACTACGCACCCCTTGTGTTCGAGTCTGCCGGCTGGGTGGGCCACGACGCCGTGTTGATGACTGGCTTCAACGGCATCACCTACTTCCTGTCAACGATCCCTCCATGGTACATCGTGGACCGCTGGGGTCGCCGCCCTATCCTCCTGACGGGTGCCGTAGCCATGGTGCTCTCCTTGTCCGCCATCTCGTACTTCCTGTACCTCGACACTCCTTGGACGCCGTCCGTAGTTGTAGGTATGGTCATGGTCTACAACGCGGCCTTCGGGTACTCATGGGGCCCTATTCCCTGGCTATACCCGCCGGAGATCTTGCCCCTGAAGATTCGCTCCAAGGGTGCCAGTCTTTCGACAGCGACGAACTGGGCGTTCAACTTCTTGGTTGGAGAGATGACGCCCATCTTGCAGGAGCTGATTCACTGGAGGCTGTACCTGATCCATGCCTTCTTCTGCGCTGTTAGTTTTGTTATTGGTGAGTATCTACTCCCTCGTAGCGCCCCCCCTAGATGTATCCAGCTAACGGGTGTATCAGTATACTTCCTGTACCCCGAAACTTGCGGTGTTAGGCTCGAGGACATGGATGCCCTCTTTGGTGATGCCACCAACGCACTTGGCACACCTGCCGCCAGCACTCCGTCACTTCATGCCGAAATTGATGCTCTTGTTGCGCCGGGCTCGCCCGTGCCACGGCTAGATATCCGGGGCCGACCGCTCGCCAGTGCGGCTATTCCCGGCCTACCGATCGATCCTCCGGATGAGGTTGAGATTACAAACAAGCGCTCTTCGGGCCAAAACCGGGGCGGGCTTGGCGGCTGGTTGTCGAGGTTGGTGGGACGGGGAGGAGGGGGAAGCCCCGAGGGGTCTGGTAGTGGTAACTATGCGCCACTTCGGCAGGGCGATGACTAAGAGTTGGATACATATCGACCTCAAGTAAATGATGGGCAGCCGGTGTTAGTTTTTTGCTCTCCTTGGATAAGTACATAGACGTTGGATATTAGAGAATTCAAGCAAGCGGAGCTTTCCAGAGGCTGGAACAGCGAAATGGGTTGTTGAAAGGACACGATTACCCGATAGCCAGGTGCATTCTATTTCTTTATGTGAATATTCTGGATGCAATCATTAATATCCACTGCCGAAGTGCTGCCTCGCTTCCATCTTGCTTTTCCACTCTAGATGCTCGCAAATATCAGTATCGTACACCAGAATGCCAACAAATAACGTGCAAAGGTAAACCTCCCAGTTCCATAATTACCCCCATTTACCTACTTCCCAGGGTCACAAGGACTCCATCCCACATGTATCGTCTCCCTTTGCTCATGCTCATCCTCCGCTTGTTGACGCATATACCACTCAGTAGGAAGGACCATAGTAATCCTACCAATAGGCGCACCGTTATTTCCACCATCACCACCAAAAGTATTACCTGTATCTGCACTTGTACGACCACCATCATTCCCCCTCCCATTCTCCAATCGGACTGGCTGGGTAGCCAAGTCAACCCCTTCCAGCCGTTCTCTCCTTTCTCGCTCCATTTCTTCAAAAGTCATGTGTCGTCCATCCAACTCCGCTACCTCGTCCTCCCTGATTCTTGTCGTTGTGGTCACCACGTTGATAGGGTTTCCGATCCCAATCCCACCAGCATACCCAAATATCCCAGATTCCGCCATGGTCCCCCTCCGTTCCCAAATGTCGATTTGGATTTGTTATTGGTGGTACTGGTACTGGTATTGGTGGCTCTTGACTGGCGGAATGAACTGCCAGCACTTGCGCTTCTCGCGGTCGCTGAGGTCCCGTCCCATCTTGAACTTATTGCCATGGGGCTATGGGGGTGACTGAATCCGCTAATATCATCAATCTTTGTCTGTAGAGCATGATGATCATACAGCTCCTTTGGAGTTGGTGGATCGTTGGACATCTCTGGAAGCCTCGGCGTTTTGGGGTTCGTCATTGTTCCAAAGCCGAGTTCGTGGATTTCCTGCTGCTGTTGCTGCTGCTGAGGTACATAAATGACCTGAGGCTTGTGAAGAGAATCCTCAAACCCTATTCCATCAGGTCCACTTGCTTTAAATTCGTTTCGTAGCCGCAAAAGCCCCTGTTCCCTCACCACCCTCTCGGCTGCTTCCTTCGCCTCCCGCTGCCGCTCTCGCTTGCGCCTCCGAGGCCCGCGATGCCACCAGGTGAAGAGGAGGATGTAGATAATTGCCAGACTCCCGATGGCGGAGCCGAGGATGGCGGGCCTGGCGGTTCCTTTCTTCTGGGCTTCTTCTTCTTTATCGTCTGCTGAGGTATAGGTGAGTGTATAGAATGGCTGTGGGGCTGGGGAAGTGGTGGAAGAGGAGGTGGATGGGATAGCACTGGCGCTGGCACCCGAAGAGGAAGAGCGGGACGAGAAATTAGCAGTCAGGAGTGCTAGTGGTGGCCCCGAAGAGGTGGGTGTTACGGGCTGTGATGACGAGGTTGTTGCCAGGGGAGCCTGCACCGTTTGGGGCGCAGTGAAGTTGTCATCTTCGGTGGTGGAAGCGGGCGTTGAAGGCGCGAGAGCGGCCTTCTGGTCCAACAGGTAGTCGTGGATTTTATAGTGATTGCTTCCGCAACCGACGCTCCAATATGCATCTGTTTCATCTGTATGGGTCTTCCCTAGACGAGTGAGTTGACAGAACGGACGAGATGCGGCATTACTAGAGGGTTTCAATGGCTAGGTCAGTAACTAGTTGGGCATGGAAAACTACCGGATTTGAAGAGAAGGGACAGACAGACTTACCATCTCGTTGTGCCAAACTGAGAACGTGCGCTTTCAGCACCGCAGCCGTCACTACAATCGTAAGCATCGATACACCAGGCGTTCCATTCACAGTTCGTGACTATATCCCGTTCGTTTTTGATAGAGAACTGTCTCGGGCAAAAGCCAAACAGCTGGTTCGGTGGATCCATGGCACACACCATACCGTTCGGAGCCATTATGGACTTCAGAGAGGCATCCTGGGCGACGGCATAGCCGCAGATGCTGGTTACTATTGGGATGTTAGTCCCACCATCTTGACGTCGTAGTGCTGCCGCCGAGATGATGAATGCCGGTGATGCTGATGTGCTCGAGGGTAGAGGTACTCCGCTTGGCATTGGTACCGCCGTACTCGTGGGTACTAATGACATTATTACGGCCATCGTGTTGTATGTCGACGACTGAGGACTCAAGGTAATGACGAGAGAGTCAAAAGAAATCCATGAGAAAGAGGTTGAGGGTAAAGAAAATATTGAATATGGGCGGAAAAGTGCTCTCTCCCCGACCATTTCCGTCTCGGGTGTCATGAGCAGGAAAAGTCATCATGAACAGCCAGGGAGGGTGTAAAAATGGCGACTACCTCCTTTCAACTTGGCTCTCGTCGTCAAATTGTGCAATACATCATGGGAGCCGATAAAAAGAGACTGTACTATTGACTCTCACGGGAAAGGGCAAAAGAGAGCGGAGTTGAAACGTGCCACTCAGGAGAGTGAACAAAGGGATCTGTGTTGACCAAGGTTATTTTTGGACAAGGCTCTTTGTGCGCCATGATCTCGAGAACAATCGTAACTTGAGTTAACCGTCAACCCGCCAGGCACCTATTCAAGTGTAAGCAAGGCCTTAAATGTTGGACAAAAGGCCAGCAGACCTCAGCTAGGAGCGGGCTGCCACTTCCATTTGGATAAAAACCATGCAATGTCTGCATCCTTCCCTGAGGACGGGAAAGATGAATCGGCAAGGAAGCTACCTTGGATCATTCTTTCCTTTTGAATATGTAATCATTTTGATGGCAAGATTGCTCTTTCCATCTCGTAATTACACATTAGTTAGCTTGAATAGATACTGCTAAGCGGCTGCCTCGGATAGAAAAGGGCATCTCCTGTGGTTGAAGTCCGTGTAAGTGATAAAATGTAAGTTACGTTATCGCGTTTCATCCTAATACGCGTACGATACGCTGCTATTACCTTCCTTGATGGCCCGTGCTGACGGGGATTTGCGTCCGTTCACTCAACCTGAGGATTGGTTTCTTGCGATTTGATATCGCATCCCAGGATTTCAAACACCCATTTCACCACATATCATGTCAACTCAGGAACTTATCCACGCCTACCGCCATCTTCTACGATGGTCATTGAGGGCCGTGCAATTCTCCAAGCCGTCACGCTTTGTGGTTCGAGACACCCTTCGTGCTGCCTTCCGCGACCAGAATGGTACTTTTGAGCCCTCGAGGATCAAGTCAACGCTGTGGTTTCTCGAATCCGCCGCGACATATGTTGGAGTGGAGCACAAAATCATCAAAAACCTGGCCCACGTTAGGTATATGCAGCAAAAAAACATCGGGCCGTGGAGGATCAAGGCACAGACACTTGCCAAGTCCCAGCAGTAAGTCAAATGGAAGAGGCGAGGAGGTTAAAGTGCACACGCTGAAGAGAAGGAACCCAACAGGAGAGCGCTCAGGGATCCAGTGCATGAAAAGGAGTACGAGCATTTTGACAAGACAATCGCCATGTTGAACGATACGATGAACTTGTGTTTACGGTAAACAACAATCCGAGAATCCGGGCAACCGTGGTCAGGGGCAGTTCAAAGCCGACATCAAAGCCGGTATTTTGTTGGATGCAGTGTTTGGCATGTCCCCTTCAAGCAGAACCAAGGGCGGAAAAAAAGGAGGCGATCACAAGGGCCAAAACCGAGTCAGACAAGTCGACTCCAATTGTCGTGATTACTCCACAAATTGGAGACACTTTGCACACCGTCGGATCTTTCCCCAGGTTTCTCCGCATTTGGTGCTTGATGACGGTTGTGTGGTGGTTTGCGTTCTGCCTTTCCCAGGACGGCAGCCATGTATCAGGACGAGGCCGAAGAGGACGCCGTCGATGCGCACAATGCTCTTCCGGGTAAATTGTATCTTTGGGCTTCGGATGATGGTGGACTGCGAGGTCGTTAACCAAGGCCAATTGCAACAAGAAGAGCATTGTCATTCCTTTGGGGGAACATATGCGCACAGCAGGGTTACTTGAGTACCTAGGTAGGAAGCTCACACGACTGCATGTCATACCTACAGCCTAATACCGTATGTACGGGTTTGTTTGATAGCTCGAGACCTCTGGTCAATCTTCCTAGGCGTCTGTTAATGCCTTTCCAATTCCTAGTTGGCCATTACGTTTTGTCCTGGTGGGGGTTTTGGAACAGTTTGGGATAGATGTTGTCCAGTACGCTAGAAGTACCGAACGACGGGAACAGAAGCATTACATCGTATTATATACTAGATATAGAGGTCAAAATCCCCAACAACGGGATCAAGTGTTACATGCGGGAAGCGGCTACGAAAGCTCATGTTGCTCCCCCGGCATGTTACCGTGTGGCGCGGTTCCTCTGCTGTTCTAGGCGGGGTTTGCCTCGGGACTGATAAGATACGACTGACTACTTTTAAACTTTGGGATTGGCTTGTGAAACCATTGACTTCCTTTCTTGAAAGGTGTACAGCAACATGTCTGTTTCTGATGGTTAGCAGCAGCAAAGAGGAAACACGGAAAGGGCCCCTTCTACTTTATATAACGAACCACGATCGAACGTCGGTGGTGAGATAACATGCGCTTGTCGCTGTTTCAGGCAAGCGGTGCTGTATCAGTGACGGTATGACGTTGGCTGGGATGGAGACTTGAGGCTGATGGCCTTCACCGATGGTTTGACATTGCTCTTGAAGCACTGGAGATCTCCAAATGTGAAATGAGAAGCCGTCCCCACAAGAAGCAGCCAGATTGGATTCGGTCACATCGGCCACATTCTGGAAAAAGAAGTTTGAAGCGGTTCAAGCCGCACGCTGAGGTGACCCCGCGCCATTCAATTGCATTGATTGCATACGAGAGCTTCACCTCGAATTTCGGTACTCTGAATCTCGTCAAAATCGTCAATCGATGACAGCTTCTTGGGCATTGAAGGAAAGAACTGGCAGCACGGGAATCATCCGTCATTATAGTGGAGTTCTCATCGTTATCGTGACTTTGGTTTCCACTGAGACTCAGCCGAGAAATGGTCCAACGGGAAAGCACGACCGAGAACTACCGGACCCGGACCCAGTGGTCACGATGCGTGGTGGAAGTACCCGTAAGCTCCATTTGCCGTACATCGTGACTCCGACTTGGCTCCTGGTCTTGAGTTCCGTCTCTGCAACGTCCAACTCCAACTTTTCCTCCTCTTTTCTCTCCAATTGCAGTCACAAGCCACCACCAGTTCCAACACCAATCGAGTAGTGACGGAACAGTGCATTGCTAACACCCTCAACCACTGCATACATCGTTGGACCCCGCAACCAACTCGCCGCGGGCAAGTCCCAAGCCCTCACACGACCTCAACTGCACTGCATTGCACCCAAAGACTGTCACGGTCGAAGCCTACCCGGTCGCCTCGAGCTCCAATCTCTCCAGCTTCGGTTCTTGTGTCCCAGTCACACAACCTCAACTCGCTGCCCTTAACTTCCCACTCGACGGGAAGTACCTTACGATAAGCAAACCGGCATCGCCTGCCGTCTGTCGCCGTGTATCGGTCAATTGTCCCCCGGCTAGGAAATAGGGACACTCCTCGGCACCAACCAATCCCTATACTACCCCTTCGCCTCTTCGTTGATCAGGGCCCTGGCCTTAGCCGTCGGCCTTAGCTTGCACATACGCTCTTTTCTCGACCCGTTCTACCATCGGAAAACGCTCAATCACTGCACGGAACCACCCATTGGGAGTTATATAGGCAGAGGAACACCGTTTTCCCACCATACGAGAAACACGCGGGAGGTGCGGTGTCGTTTGCGGCGGACCTACGCCAGTCGGCATCAAGGCCTTTCTCAACCGTGCCCAGGACTTTGGTCTCGATCGACGAGACCACTGTCTAGCCGGACGGGCCTCTCCCGACTTAATCTCCGGCGGAGGGCAGTCCTTCGTTTTGCAAATTACATACGAGATTAGAGCTACGGCAAGGGGCGACTTTCGCACGCCAAGAGATAACCAACGAGTATGCGCACGACAGCGACACTCCAAGGTGCCGATAACGCCCTCCTCGACGACAACAGTATATCGAATAATGGGCCAGCGGCTGGCCACCGTCGTCTCGCACCATCGCTCCCCATCATGCCCCAACAAAGCAACAGCCAGGAGAGCACCACCTCCCTAAAAGGGAACTCCAGAGATGGCTCAAACACGGGCACAAGTACCAGCGCGAGCAGCCTTACAAACGCCGGTTCTAGCAGCGACGGTCAGTTTTGGAACAGTACACAGCGACTGGCGAAAAAGTACCGCACCGAGGTTGCCGCTTCAGCCTCGAGCGTGCTGTCCACAATGTCCACATTTCCCCTCGATAGCGTCAAGACACGGATGCAGACGTACAAATATGCCGGCTTTGTCGACTGTGTAAAACAGACCTACCACACTGAGAAGCTCAGGGGCTTCTTCCGAGGTAGGTTATTGTGCCTTTCCCGGCACCTTGCCCGGGGTTGATATGCCAGTGTCCTGACCTTTCCTGAATGACTTAGGCGTCACGGCCCCGATGCTCAGCATAACTGCGGTGCGGACTGTGTCGTTCTCCATCTATCAGCGCTCAAAATACGCATATAGTGACTGGGTCAAGCGTAACTTTGGCTTTGATGTCATGAGCCACGTCGCCTCCCACGGGTCGTTACCCAATCTCTGGACTGTGGCCACCTTTGGCGCCGCTGGCGCAACGGCCGGATCGTGCATAACTTTAATAGCTTGTAAGTCCGCGTTATAAGATTGGAGAAACTCCTTTGGAAGTGTCCGTGAAAGCGAATGCTAATGCTCCGCCTGTAAAAATGCTATAGGCCCATTCGAGTTGACCAAGCTCAGTGCGCAAGTCTCAGTCCTCATGGCGGACAAGAAGAATTGCCTAAAACCGGGCAGCCATGCCATTGCCGCGAGTTACCAGAACAAGGGGACTTTGAAGACAATGGGAAACATTGTGAAGCACCGAGGACTAGGTGGTCTTTACACCGGTTTCGGCTTGCATCTGAGTGAGTACATTTCTGTGATTTTGTGGTTCTGGAAGATACTGACCAGGCCGGATGTCATAGCCCGAGATACCCTCGGTACTGCCATGTACTTCATCACCTATGAAAGCAGCAAACAGCTGCTTACTACTTTTGGCGGGGATGGTAGCCATAACAACCCTTTCGCAGTGCTGATCGCGGGTGGCATGTGCGGAATAGTCTCATGGGCGCTAATCTGTAAGCTGAGGTCCCGAATTATCATCATCTTCAAGTGAAACTAACGGTGGAACTTTGTCTAGACCCCGTCGATTCAGCGAAGAGCATTTATCAACGCAATTCGCTTATGTATACAAAGGGTGAAAAGGTCGAGCCGGTCAAGATCCGCTTTTTCCAGCGCAATATGTATCGCGGTCTTGGCGTATCAATGGCTCGGTCTTGTGCGGTTAATGCTGTCTTCTTTTCGTCCTTCGAATTCTTGAAGAAGCGCATTAAGGACATGGAAGACCACTAACATTACCGCTACACATCCCAAAAAAAAGGAACGGCTACCATCGGCGAATGGTATCTGTCGAATCTTGTGCAACAACGTCCCTTAGATGCGCATGTTGCTGGGTATGGGCCACAACAGTCGATACCCAGAGGAGTTGGGAAATCAAGCATTATTTAACGGCACAGTGTATACGGGGAGATCTGTCAGGGTAACACATACAAATCATGTCTGCATATTGGCATTGTGGAACGAGGTCGCATACAACAGGTACGCAAGATGTGTCTTGCGAGGGATAACGTCTGGGTTGATCCGCATTGATAAGGGTGTTCGTATTTCTTGGGTTCATCTCAACGGGTCTCCCCAAGCGGAAGGGGATGGTGGGTGCATATGACAGCGGCAAGCTTGTCTGGAACGGCGTTTCTTTGCGGGTTTGGTAATTGGGTTGAAGTAAAGTGCTCTGGGGTACCTCCCAGTCTCCCACTCAAAAGACTTTGGATGATTGTGTGATTGATCGGCTCTGCTCATGAAGCAGACGTAAGGGGAAGGATCTTGGATTATCTCACCAAGTGAAATGGGAACGATTAAAGACCAAGACGACGCCCCCGCTGACTGAGTATAATCATTTGCCTGTCAATTTGTACAATGTCACACAGCTATGAACCACACAACGATGGTGAAGCTGCTAAGGAAACCAGGCATAAGGCTAGAAACCTTCGACCTTGGCAGCTTGGGCTTGTCCAGAGGGTCCGTGCTTGGTATTGGAATTTGGCGCTTCAGCGTGGCAAGGTTCAGCATTATCACATTCACTGTACACATAGTGGATGTTACAAAGTCCAGCAACAAGAAAAAATTCATGGTGTAAGTTCAATAGTATCTCAGTTTCCGTTGAACCAAACCTGAAAGAAAGCCGGCGTAGATTGTTACAGTTCCTTGCCGTGAACTCGTATCAGTGGCAAGACAGAAGTATGGTAGATGGCTGACGCTGTTGTGCGCCTACCAAACCCTAACCCTTGTCATTTCACAATTTTTCATACCCGTTCTTGGTGAACTTACACTCACTTCACCTTCCCGTCCAACCTCACTTCATCCTTTTATTTTCGGAAAAAAGGTCAATCAGCCTTAGTTGCCGCCACCACAACACAGCAACGGGCACTTTACGACAACAATGCCTGGCCGTGCCAACCTACGGCATGGCATCGACCGCGATGTCTACCAACTCGTCCTGAAATTGGAGATCGAGGAGGAAGACAGGCGAGAGGCCATCATCGAGAAAGAAGGCAAGAACAGCAAAAACCTGTCAAGCAGACGAGGGCTCTCAGTTTCGTCCGTTTACGACTCAATAAAACGGTCCAACTCGAGTCTGGCTCGCCGAAATAAGAAATTGCTGGAGGACTCGATCGAGCGGGTGCTCGACATACGGCGAGAGGAGGCCAAGAAAGACGCAGTCGAGGATTCGGACGATGTAATTGAGGCAGCCGAGGCCGAGGAAGCAGCCAAGAAAAGCAAGTCAGCTGAGGCGACAGCTACAGGGTTCTTGAACAAGCAGATTGCGAAGGCGTGGGGTCTGGCCCCGCCCAAGCTGCCTACGGCGACGGCAGTGGGTGGTGAGGGTGCAGCGGTTGCAGAAAACGGCGGAGGTGAGGCGGGCGCTGCTAGTGAAGGAGGAGGAGCGGGCTCGGCTCCGCAAACGCCGGGACCCGGAGCGGTTCCTGCTGCTGCTGGATCATCTGAGAAACAGGCAAATGGCGAGCCTAGGGGAAAGAAGAGGAAGGCGGAGAAGATCTCGAAGGAGAAGGAGGTCGACCGGTCACCTCCCACGGGCATCTCCATCAAGGACATTGCCGGTGTAGATGACACGCTCGACAAGCTTCTGCACGAGGTGTGGTTCCCGCTCTGTGCGGGTGAGGCCTGCGCCAAGATGGGATACCGTTACGATAACGGCGTGCTCCTTCACGGCCCTTCAGGTTGCGGCAAGACCACGCTTGCTCACGCCGTGGCTGGAAGTGTTGGCGCCGCCTTCATCCCCGTTTCCGCGCCTTCTATCGTCGGCGGCACCTCGGGCGAATCAGAGAAGAACATCCGTGAAGTCTTTGATGAAGCTATCCGTCTTGCCCCATGCCTCGTCTTCATCGACGAGATCGATGCCATTGCTGGCAAGCGTGAGAGCGCCAACAAGGGCATGGAGGGCCGTATCGTGGCCGAAATCATGAACGGCATGGACCGCATCAAACAGCAGACTCCCCTCGGCAAGAACGTTGTCGTCCTGGCCGCCACCAACCGTCCAGACTTCTTGGATCCTGCCATTCGTCGCCGCTTCAGCGCCGAGATTGACATGGGCATGCCCAACGAGCGCGCCCGCGAGCACATCCTCAAGTCCCTCTCCCGCGACCTTAACGTGGACGCCGACGTCAACTTCGCCGAGCTCGCCAAGCTGACACCGGGTTATGTGGGCTCCGATCTGCAATACGTTGTCAAGGCCGCGGTGTCCGAATCCTTCCGCGGAAGCCTCGACGCCCTCCTCGAAAAGGCACGCCAACTGCGCGCTGCCGCCGCCGAAGCCGCCACGGCCGCCATCACCTCTGAGTCCCCCGAGGATTACGAAGAGCAACAAAGACAGATCCAGAAGGAACTCGACGACACGCTCACCGGCATCTCCCAAAAGCAGCGCGACTGGCTGCTCCTCGAGGACCACCGCCAGGCCTCGTGGTCCGACAGCTGCATCACCATGGCACAATTCCGCCTCGCCGTCTCCCGCGTGCAGCCGGCCTCCAAGCGTGAAGGCTTCAGCACGATCCCCGACACCACATGGGCGCACGTCGGAGCGCTCGACGAAGTCCGCAAGAAGCTTGAGATGAGCATCATTGGCCCCATCAAGCGGCCCGAACTCTTCACCAAGGTGGGCATCAAGCCCGCCGCCGGCATCCTCCTCTGGGGTCCTCCAGGCTGCGGCAAGACTTTGGTCGCCAAGGCCGTAGCCAACGAGTCCAAGGCCAACTTCATCTCCATCAAGGGTCCCGAGCTGCTGAACAAGTACGTGGGCGAGTCCGAGAGAGCAGTCCGCCAGCTCTTCGCGCGCGCCAAGTCCTCGGCCCCCTGCATCTTGTTCTTCGACGAGATGGACGCCCTGGTGCCCAAGCGCGACGACTCGCTCTCCGACGCCAGCGCCCGCGTTGTCAACACCTTGCTTACGGAGCTTGACGGTGTCGGTGACCGCAGCGGGATTTACGTCATTGGCGCTACGAACAGGCCGGATATCATTGACGAGGCCATTAGGAGACCGGGCAGATTGGGCACGAGCATCTACGTTGGCTTGCCGAGCGCGGAGGACCGCGTGGATATTCTCAGGACTCTTTACAGGAACTCGATTGCGAGGGCCAAGGCTTCCCAGAAGGCTGCTGCTCCCCGTCCTCCTCCTCCTCCTACAAACACCGCCACCACACCCGCGGCCACGACGGGAGGAGACGCGATGGACATCGACAGCGGCAGCTCCGTCCTACCAGGCCAACAAACCCCGACCTCCACAGCGGCCGCCATGGACGAGACCATGCGCGAGGCCGAGAAGCAGTTGGAGCGTGTTGCGCTCGATCTGCGCTGCACCGGCTTCTCGGGTGCCGACTTGGGTAACTTGATGCAGGCGGCTGCCCAGGCTTGTCTCGAGAGGGCGTACCTGAGCCAGATGTACCAGTCTGACAACAAGAAGGGTGGTGTTCAGATAGACGAGGAGGACAAGCTGACGGATATGGTAGCTAACCCGGTCATCACGCCGGAGGACTGGGAGAAGGCGCTGAATGAGGTCAAGCCTAGTGTGAAGGACCCGGAGAAGTATGTTCATATCGATTAAGTCTAGAAGGTGGGATTACAGATACAAAGTGGCGTTTTGCGGCTCATAAAAACACCGGGTTTAATGTTTGATTTGCGTTTGTATGTATCTTTGTGTGGGTAGCGGAAACCAAAAAAATTACCAAGTATAACCTCCTGAGCCATGTCGTCTCTCGTAGATGTGCAAGATATGTCCGTCAGATTCCGAGAATGAAGGGACTGCTTGGTGGGTATAAATTATCGCGTGAGCGGAGATGTTTTATTGAGTATCAAGTACAGATATGTATGACAACATCCTGCCGTCTAGGTATACCATCACCACCAAATCCGAAAGACGCCTCCCGTATCTTCCGACGCCCAGCTAACTGACCCATGACCAAATACCCCGCCCAGCTCAACCTCGAGTAACTGTCAAGGCACTAAAACCACATCACCTCCAGGAACGCGCTCAGGAAAGAAGGGTAGTAAGGGGGAATGGGGTATTTTTCGTAAAGTCATACAGAGGAGGATTAGGATATCAAGGTCGTCGAAAAGAAACAACCAAGGATCGCCCAGCACAAATCGTCTAGTCTATGGTACAACAACGAAGAGGGATGTGCCAAGCCCGTCTAATGCAAAAAAATCTCCCTTTTTATTAATACAATCCCATAACTCCTCAGTAGCAACGCCCATCATCAAACAAGATTGCTTAGAAAATTTAAGCAGTAGCCTCCTTCATGAAGCTGTTGGAGGAGGGTGAGTTAGTCTGGCATGTCCTCGACTCATAACAGGTAGAAGGGGGTGGAGTAAAACATACGTGATGATGTCGTTCCTGTCCTTGTCCTTCTTGAGACCACCGAAGGCCATCTTGGTACCGGGAATGTACTTCTTGGGGTTCTCGAGGTACTCGAAGAGAGTGTTCTCGTCCCAGGTGATGCCCTTCTGCTTGTTGGCATCGGTGTAGGCGTAGCCGTCGACGGAGCCGGTCTTGCGGCCGAAGAGACCGTGGAGAGCGGGGCCGATCTTGTTGCCGCCGCCAGCCTCAAGGGTGTGGCACTGAGCGCAACGGGTCTTGAAGAGGTTGGCACCCTTCTTGGAATCACCTGTGTGCGGAACGAGGTTAGAACGGCTGCTGTGAAGCAAACAAATCGCAAAGCGCGGCTCTGGTCATTCATTCTAATGTTGTCTTGGTGGCCTCGGTCTCGACTGTTGTCGTCATGATGTTGGCAGGGAACCTTGGTGGCCGGAGATCTGGTAGATGGTGTTGAGGGAAATACGTCAAGGGCAAGACATGCTCCGTGACGTCGAGCCCGACGTGGCCAAGCTCCTGTGACAGTGCTATTCCGCTCCGTCGAGTAATCGGGTTTGCGACACAAGGAGAAAATGCCGCGTGATTTGGCAGCGGGAGGCTGAAGATGTCGGGATCGCGGGACGAGAACAATGCTCGAGGTGTCCAGCTCATGGCGCAGAAGACATGACCAAGCGATGGTAGCCTCTCCATCTCATGGGGACGTCGCGAGCAACCCGTGGCTCAGCCAGCGAAACTGAAGCTGGAGGACGTGTGGATGACGTTGACAAAGCCGGACCGCCGAGACAACAATAGGAAAGAGAGCGCATGCGCATCATGGCGTGGGTTGAGACATGAGAGTGGGAGACATACCGGCAGAGAAGCCCATTTTTGACTGATTGGTTTATGAGGAAGCGTTAAAACCGCAAAGATGTATAGGGAATACTGGAAGTTGAGATGACTGAAGACAGGAAGGGGGAAAGGAAGAGGAAGAAAAAGATCCGGCGAGGCCTAAGAAATAGTAGGAACAAAAAGTTGCAAACCAAGACTGGGAATGACAGATCCTGGTCACCGGCGCCAGTCACCTACGTACCTGGGTACCTACCGTATTTGCAGCGTGCAATCCGTGCAAGGCCCCCCGTTCTCCAGTGAGAGAAACTGGCTGTTTGGCTGGACACGGCTCACACGCTGAGAGGATCTTGATCCAAACTTTTTTCCTTTCAATGCACTCACAGCTGGCAACCACTCGCTGGCAAGACCCTCCAGCCAATCCCGTGTGCCATTCGCAATCCCGAGCACCTTCGTTGACGATGACCGTGGCCAAGACATCGACCAGAGCCACAACCTGAGGCTGGAGAAGGCGGGTTTTTTCAATACGATTGGCCAATGATGTGCCCAACGTTAGTCAGAGGCGCTCATCGACGGCCATCGCTGCCGGGTCAGGGAACGGGCAAAGTCGGAAATGGTCCCACAGGAGCCACAGTGATTTGCGGACAGACGAATCGTGCCTGAAAGAACTGCGAAACTGCGATGCAACCCATAATAAAACAGCCTTGCGCTAACCATATAGGGTATGCAAACAATGCTGGAACCATTCATCCGGTGTCCATCAAACCTCATCCACTTTTCTTTTATGCGGCACGCTAGCGACAATTTTTGTGTCATGTTGGATTGCAGGCCATCCGATTGACCGATTGACCGATTGAGCCGCAAAAGGAACCGCGTCCGACTTCTGGCACCTTCCGACCCCGACCGCCCCGATTCAACGCACCCGGCCATCCACGTCGCCGCCGGGGAATCCCACTTTTTGCGATTCGGCAGCCCGACCCCACACCACCACACACAGCGATCTGATACGGCGGGTACCGCATTCACTACATACCAGCAAAACACCAAACACCAAATATTGACTCGAGTAGCTCCATTGCTGTAGCGACGTAGCTGGGCGCAAATAGAGACACAAATATACAGACCATGTCATCAGCAACCTCCACCATGATCCCCCGCTTTCTCCTCCCGCAGTACGGGCGCATCTGGCAACGATCCACCCAAAACCTTATCCAGCACCGTCTCGCATCCACAAAGTCAACATCGGACGCAAACACATCAGCATCCGGCCCGCGCGTCCTCGCAAAGCCCGAGCGCTTCAACCCTCCTTCGCATGGCTCCCGACTCCCCAACAAGAAGCACGTCCCGCGGCATTATGGCGGCGACCTCAGCTTCCAAGAGAAGCAGGCCCAGGCGAAAAAGGAATATCCGGGGCTGATGCCCGGTGAGGGAACGTATGGATGGTGGTTCTGGAATAACAAGTGGTTTCACATGTGCTTGACCCTGGTATGTTTATACCCAGCTCCCCCCAACCTGGAGCTCCCGATAACTAACACTGCCAAAAAAAAAAGGGCACCCTCTTTTCCCTAGCCATCTACACCGCAACCGAAAACTTCAAGCGCACCTCCCCCTTCGCCGACATGCTCCCCGCCAAGGGCGACTTCCTCAGCCACCCCATCGACTCCTTCCAACACCTGGGCCACGTCATCCGGCTGCACGAGGCGCACAAGTCCGCCGAGATCTCGGCCAAGAGGCAGCGGGCCATCGACGACGTGGCCAAGCGGACCATGTACAGGAAGGCGCACGGTCTGCCCGAGGAGCAGGGCGTCATGGGCTTCATCAAGCTGAAGGAGCCGGAGCGGATTGCTAGCGTGTCGAGAGGGGTGTTGGAGCCGGAGCCGGCTACTGCGCCAGCGCCTGCTACTAAGGAGGGGGAGCAGAAACAGGAGCAGCAGCAGCAGTAATGGGTTTTGGTGATTGAAGGCGGCGGTGGCTGTGCTGCTAGGGAATTCATGGCTCTGGGGACCAGGCGCGTGTGGTTATAGCGTGGTGATAGCGCTGTGATTCCGATTCCGATCACGCCGCCTCCGGGCTGTCTCGAAAGAACGAGATGGGATGGAGACGAGCATGGATCAGGGAGGGGACGTTCGTGACGACTACGTGTACGATTATGTGTTACTGACGATTTAGAAGGGGCAAACGGACAACGGGCACGGAAAAGCAAGTTTAGCGTTAGACTTGGGAATAGGGGTATCTTGATTTTGATCAACATCAAACTTCCATCTCTCTTGCTTCCCAAGTACGCTAGGCACGACAACTCCGTGTGTGGATGACAGATGCTCGCGCAATGTATATGATGACACACGAGCTGATGCGCCTCTTTCATGTACACACACCAAAACCCTGAGCCTCTTCCGGTGTCACCTACACAACGGGCCACAGTATATGCCCGCACGGTACCCTGACAAGAAGTAGCAAAGCGTGCTATGCAACCATGGCCAATATTCCAAGGTGTTCCTCGGCAACCAAAGACCAGCACCACTAGATTGTTTTGGCCCTTCAGTTCAAATCAACACCATCCAGCGCATCCAAAACCTCATCGGCCACGCCTCCCTTCTCCAACACCTTCTGCACCAACGCAGCCATTACCAACGTCTTGGCACCGCCTCTCGGCGCCTTCCACACACCCTCCACGGCCTCCGACTCGGTCGTCCTTGCCTGTTCCTGCTGTTGCTTCTTCTTCTCGGTATCTTTCGCGCCAGCATTCGCTCCATAAGCGGAATTGCTCGCATTGGGAATACCAGGAGGGGTCAACCGGGAAGGGGGGTCGATCGTTCGCACCGATAGAAGGCGAAGGTTGTGGTGTCCTTTTGTCTCTTCGGTGTCGATGTCCATTTCTGTGGGTTTGCTGCTGGTAGAACCGGTGTGCTCGCCAACGGAAACGGCCAGCGCAACATCGGCGACGGCTAGCTCCTCCTTGGAAGGGTCGAAGATGATGTTGTTGCCAACGGCCATGACAAGAAGGGTGACGGGTGGCCTGGCGGTTGGGGCAGCGACCGTCTTTTTGGAACCCTTCTTTCCTGGTCTGGTGTAGAGATAGGGGGCAGCGGCCCAGTCGTCGTCGAAGAGAGGGTCTTCGTCGCCTTCGGACTTTAGGCGTGGGAGACGGGTTGCAAGGAGGGCGAGATGTGTGGTTAGGGAGAGGAGGGGCAGAGGGTATGACAGCGGGGGGGAGATGAGGAGAATCTGTTAGGATCAAAGTCAGTAATTCGTGTCTATGCAAAAGGAAACAGGAAGCTCGAGTGCATACGTCAAGGTAGAGCTTCCAGTGAAACCTCCGGTTAATCCACAGCCGCTTCGTAAACTCGCCATCTGCCAGCAGCGCTTCGCTAAGCATGGCGGATAGGAACACGGTTCCCGCGTCGTCGTCTCTGTATCCAGGAATTTCCACCGTCATCTCCACCCAGTCGTTGTCGCCCTTGACCACATCGTGTTGGTTGTCCAGGTCGTCATCGTCCTCAGCGCCTTCATCATCTAGTGAGGGAAAATCGTGTCTTGTCCTCGTCCTCTCGACTTCCGCCTTAACGCCAACAATGGCCTCTGTACCGTCGGCGAAGCAGATGCGCGCGCTGCCGTTGGTGCCGGGGAGGATGCCTGTCTCAGCGACGAGGGGGCGGAACTGTGTAGGAGAACGGCCATCGGGGCGGATGGGAGGGGTGAGGCTGAGCGAAGCGTGGAGGTAGGCGAGCTCCGCCGGCGAAAGTAGGACGTGTTGCGAGGACGCCATCCTTTTTCGATATTCGTGTTTCTCGGGTTCTTCTGTTTGTTGACTTGGCTCCTTCTATGCGACGCGGATGTTCCTGGCGCAAAGTGTTTTCGGGATAGATTTTTGCGATTCAGGCTTTTCCAGAATATCGATGGGGAGGTCGCAAGCACGGCAAATGAACTGAATTGGTGTTTTGCCTTTTGGAATCGAGCTGGAGGAGCGCCGTCAGGAGAATGCAATGATGTCTGGATCTGAATTTTTGGAGGGGCCGCTCAGCCTGGCGCCTGCACAGTTGTACGTACCTGGTACCCCAAAATTCAGGTGGGGTGCGCTGAGGCTGAACAGAGGCAGCTTACCTTAATGGAAGCTCTAAGCCAACGCCCGGTAATAAGCAACACGCTCGGGGTGTGACAAGTAAACGCTCCGTTCAGGGGTTTGTTTACTTTACAACCGAAGAGTCGCTTCGACAGGTGGTGAGCACATGTCAACACCTATCAAGTACTTCAACCCGAAGCTAATTATCTTTCTTCAAGCTGATAATATGCTTCTTATCTCCTTTTGAAAAAAAAACAGCCAGTTGCTTAGCATTACTTATCGACGAGTTCAAGTTTGTCTGCCATAAGATCACGTCAAAAAGGCATTTGGAAGGGACGGAGAATGAAATTTGGGCAGAAATGGCTCGAAAATGAATTCGTATCAGTTGTATGTCTTGCACGTGTGGTAATTGTAACAGCTTTCTTGCTTGTTTTCCATCACGGTGGTCGATATTGTTTTGCTCTGCAAAGGGTTGTAAGGTTACCAATACCCATGAGTGTAAGAAACCCGTATCATCCGTAATCCGTGTAACGCCAAGACAACCACCGTCTACTTGTGATGCCAGCTTGGTCGATTACCTGAACCCCACCATCACGCTCATACTGGGACATTCCTTCATCACAACCAGCTCACCACCACTCACTGTCACGTATCATCACCAGTGTCAAAGACCAACGTCGGGATACTTCGTCATCACGCTGTGCTTAACTTGAGTCGCATAAAGTTAACTCGCCTAAAAGTCGTCTTGGTCAGGCCTACAGCAACCTCAGCTCTTCACTCACACCTCCGCGGGCCACCCCTGAAGCTGCCCGGAACAAACACTTATTAATCTCAAACCTCACCACTTCTTCTCAAGTCACAATGGCATGGGATTCCAAGTCAACACCAGCCCGACGACGAGGCAACAGCATCGCCTCCAACGCCTCACGCGGTCTCCGCACAGGACCCAGACCTCCCACCCAACCCAAGTCCGCTCACGTCGCCGACCCCTTCCTCCATGACTTCCTGGCTCCATCCTTTGACGCCGCTGCCTACCTCAACGCCACACTGCCTCCTTTGCAGACATCTACGGGAGCTTCATCATCATTGTCGTCATCATCAGCTTCGCGATCCGCTACCAACCAAGGCGGTGCCACAACGGCCGCCGCGACAGCCGTGCCACTCTCCGAAGTTTCTCTCCAGGCCCAATCCGTGCTCTCCCAGCTGAACGCGCACACCACCAGACTCACCAACACCCTCACTCAACTCACCGACGACATCCTCCGGAGCGGGAGCAGATTAGCCTACGAGGTAGAGCTCCTACGCGGTGAGACGCTCGGTCTGGCCGAGACTCTCACGGAGGGGTTGCAAGAGGATGTAGCCAAGTTTGTGCCTGGCGGAATTTCTGTTCCGGAAGCACAACCCGCACCGGCCGTACCGGTAACTACGCCAGGTGAGGGAGGTGCTCATCAACGGCGTCTATCAGTCATTGCCGTACCACCTTCACAACAACCACAGCCAGAAACACCCGCCGTCGCTGCTACAGCCCACCCAGGCGCCTCAACAGAAGAACAAGACCAAGAACCCCAAGAACCCCCACACATAACCCAGCTCCGCACCTTGACCCTCGTCCGCTCGCGTCTGGACTCGGTAATCCAGACCTTCGGCTCAGCCATCGACTTCGTCTTCCCGCCCTCGGAGGTATCCGCCGTCTCTTCTTTCCTATCCGTATCCGCGCCCGCGCCGTCTGACTCCGGTCTCGGTTCCAACAACGACCCCGATTCGGTAGCCAGCACGGAGGAAAGGGGGCAAAAGGTGTTGCAGGCGCTTCGGGACGAGATCTCATCTTTGTTGGAAAACAGCAAGAACGAAGAAAACGATCCGATCAAGGGGATTGAGGAAGCGGCGAAGCGAGTGGGCGAGTTGAAGGAGTTGGTTAAAGTGTGGAAGGGCACGGCGGAGGAGCGGGGCAGGGTGAAGTTTGTGGAGGGGTTGGCCAGGATGGTGGAGGAGAGGCATGCGGTTTTGGTTAGGGAGTTGGAGAGCGGTGGTGCGAGGAAAGGCGATGCTGCTGCGGCCGGGAGTGGAAGTGCCAGGAGTGATGCTGAGGCGGCTTTGAGGAGGGTTGTTGGAGGTAGCGGAGAGGCGGAGCAGGCGTCACAGACACAAACACAGACGGAAAGTAAGGGGTTGGGTGGGTATGGGCTGATCAGTCAGTTGAATAAGTTCAGGAACGGTTTATAACACCAGTTGGCACCTTGGAGCCATCTAGGTTGGCGCGGCTGGGTTGAGGCGACACTCAAGTTGACCGTGGAGCGCACTTTGAGTGTATATTTGGGTTTCTCTTTTTTACTAGCTTTGCGTCTGGAGTATTCTTCTACTATAGAGGACTTCTTAATGTCGAATACTGGGTACCACTCCCAGCCAAAGCGATCGTCAGCCTTACAATGTCCCACATCTGTCTCCCCTTGCAGTACTTCTCCAGTGCTCGAACTTGATCCGCAATGTGACCTCACCTCCCCGCATAGTCAGGGCAGTGAACGCCACGCATATGATAAGCGGTGTTAGGAGCGACTAGATCTAGGAACCATATACCTCGGGTGACTTTTCGTCCATGGTATCAATGTATGTTGGTCCCTTTTTGTCTAGCCGTGCTCTGCGAGACCCGTGCTGCCGTGATCATTCCCACCGAGTTGAGATTTCTTCCGAGTCTTCCAAGTCAGAGAAGGGGACAAGGACGATGTATAGGACCAGTATGCCATTACCCCTACCAAGTCTTTCCCAGATGACTGTTGGTAACGCCTCTCGGGAAATGAGTCATTTCACAGAGCCGTAAGTGTTAGATTCCCGTCTCCCCATCATCACCTGTGAAGCCTGTGTAGGGGAGAGCACAGCGAACATGATGGGGTTAGGACGTTGTGTCCATTGACATGATTTCGGAAAGTCTGGCAATGTCCTGTCTTGATGTTATGCGGCTTCCCTTGCGTGTGTGCCTATAAGATGATTTCATCAGATCACCTCCCACGCCACTATAGTCTACCGAACCAGAGTAGAGCCACCCAATGTTTCCCTTCCTTCTCTCTTACTCCTTCTTACATAAGAGAACCAAATGCGACTCTATAGGCCTCCCGTAAACGCCCAAACATGAATGCAGATAAAATACGAAGGAAAAGGGGAGAGTTTTGTGTTATCTTCAGAGACAAGGAGATGTGTGCGGGCGTGCGTCCCAAACAGGCCAGCTTCGGTCAAGACCACTTTATCCGTTGCGCCGTACGATCTACTTCAGTCGCAAAGCTGACGAGAGTAGCATCTTCTCCAAGCTTAGAAGTTGGAAAGACTGCCGAAACAGCTATTGTTCCATCCAGGCTAACCTGCGTGCATCGTCTTGGGGAGGTAAACAAGAATTTGACCAGAGAAACAACAAGACACATGACTGCGCTGGCTGAGAACTGAGGACCTAAACGCGTTCCAAGCTGTATCCAAATGGTCGCCATATTGGGATGGATTTTGGACTCTCGCTGCTATCAGAGATATTGTGTTTGCTTTGCTCTTTGGAGCCCCGTATGGTAGAAAGATGAAGACGCAATAAGTCGAGACGTCAGCAATAGGCCTCAGCAACCATTTGGGGAACTGTCTTCTAGCGCACACTGCTCAGGAGACAGCGGAAAGCGACACTATCGCCCCCAAGTATGGCGGTACCTAGGTTACCTCTTGATCGTCGACAGATCTAGAGCTGCTTGAAGTTCTGGTCGTTCTTTCAACAATTCGGACGCTTGAGCGTATGTGTACCACTTGCGCTCACGCTTGTCCTTCTCGGGCCACTCGGGCTCTTCGCTGGTGACAGTGGCCTCGAAGAATCGGTAGAGCGAGCGCTCCTTCTCCTTGGTGGAATTTTTCTTGGGAGGGCGGGTATCCTGAATATCACCCAAGTCATAGTTGATCTGAACCACGATACCGGCCTCCTCCCAAGCTTCACGGGCAGCAGCCTCGTGACATTCCTCGTCCAGTTCCCATCCGCCCTTGGGCAGCACCCAACCTTTTCGACGCGTGGACTGGATCAACATGACGTAGTACTTGTCCGCAGTCAGAGGGACAACGCCGGCAACCAGTCGTTCGCCTTTCGTATTGTATCCTACAAAAGGGAGGGTCAGTTGGACCGACCACAAGCGGCGGATGCACAGCTCCTGCCTCCTGCCATCTGGATGCCAAGACCGCATTTGGCAAGGAGTGGATGCTCGTGTATTAGTCAAGACTAGAGCGGGCATCTAGAACTCACGTTGCTTGGTACGCCCAGTCCGGGATTCCATTGACCGATTACCACTACTAGTATTGCTAGCCGCCATCTTGCAGAGCTTCCAACAGGTCGGCAGAGCGACCAATTCCTTGCCAAGTCTTTGTAGAAAGGTTGAATGGTGCGGGACGTGTACTACGAGGCGCGCGGAGGGGGGTTTTGGGTTCGACGAAGGTTGTCAGAGTAACGGCGCTCGGTACGTTGAGATATCCGGATAGTCCGTCGTTGAAGAGAGTGGTGTCCCGGAGCTTTAGCGCGCGGTGAGCGGCATGATCGGAAAGGTAGGACGGGTAGAAGCTCGGAGAATTACTGGAATGACGGAGCGACACCGGGATGCGCAGAGATGGTGCGAATCGAACGGGGGTCTAAAAAGCTGATCGTGCGGAAAAGAGTGCGTCGAGTGCAGGGCCAACTTGGGGAAGTGGAAGGCGGACCCGAAATGGGCAATCGGGAAGCTCTTGGAGGTGGTGCGTCTTTCGCAAAGGAGAGAGAGAAAAAAAAAAGACGACGGTGTCTCTCGACCGGCGGCGGCAGGCGGGATGGTCTGACAAGTGGTGGTCTTGGTCGTGACGAAAACGGAGAGGAGGAACCGTCGACTTTTTAGTGCAGCGAGGTGTGTTGGTGGTAGTGTGGTAGACTTTGGTCCAGACACCACGCGACACGCAGTGGACGTTGGTGGTCGAGAACCAACGGAACGGAACTTGGATTTCTCGATGCACTGGAGACCAGCAGAACCAGATGCGAAGTCGAGGATCTGTCGAGGATCTACCAAGACGTGGAACCTTGAGGGGCGACGTCGGAGAAACGAAGGTGGGTGGTGCTTCGCTCGGGGGGGCCAGACGGGGGGTTCGCTTGGAGGCAGACTTTTTTCGAGGTTCCTTTTTAACTCACTGCAGTGGCACTTTGGCGGCCGGCAACGACACCTTTTTAGCGGCCTGCAGTGAGAGCCTGAGCGCTCGCTAGGGTGGGAGTGCCAAAGTCCGTACGGTAAGGAAGGTACCTCGAGCCGTTTGGACCTGCCTTGCTTCTGCGTGGTGGTGGAAGCTCCAGGGGCGGGGCACACGCGACCTGTTCTCGTTTTGGGCCAAAGTGGAAAGATGGAAGGACACCTGCACCTGTAGCACCTTCCTTCTCGATGCTTCAGTTCCTTCCATCCCGTGCTATGCGTTGAGATGGAATGTTTCGGATCCAGATCTGCTACCAACTGGAGGTATCTTTGAAAGCCGGGTCGTCTTTGTTGAAAGAGCCTGGATCTGAAGTGGTGTGCATCTGGAACTTTGAAGCTTCACCTTGGAAGACATGACTGCAGGGCGGGCAAACGACCTGAGGACACCATAGCCGTGAAGACATGGAATCAAAGCGAAAACAGTAACCCGACGAGATCTCTCCGCGCCTGGGCTTTGCGAGGTACATAGAGGTCGGTGGCTCGAACCCAAGGATCTGAAGGGAAGGAAGCTAGCGTGCACAATACCTAGGTACCCAAAGTGGTTCGCGATGGCTTGTGAGCCATGGCCCTGTAAAGCTCAACAGATGATGGCCCAACCAAGCAGGTAGCAGGAAACACATTTGATGCTCTGGATCCGAGATGCATAAGGTAAAGTGCCTGGCAGTGATGGTGTGTGACCTGACCTGAAGTGCACTCAGTAGAAGTGCGATCCAGTCGGGGGCACTGCAATTGTCGCTTCATCCAACAGACAATCTAGACATCATGATCCCATTTTCCCCACACGTACACGGCGGGCGAGACGATGAAGCACAATTCCATTCCCGGTTTGTAGGGTATTCGGCGGGAATGGCTGTGGCCGAACAATCGCCCGCCGGGGACAAGGAAGAACAAAGCGAACAGTCCGAAAGAGAACTCAAGAGTGAAGAAACGAAGAGAAACAAAAACAGTGATACATAGCGAGGAAATTGCGGTCGAATTGAAGGGCGGGTACGTACCACTCCGCACGAGAATTAAGCATCATGACCCGCATTTCCACGACATATCAATGGTCAGGTCTGTTGAGCTCGGACCCCATGCCACGTCCGGATCGACACTGACGCGGGCATGGCGGAAGCTTTAATTCATCATCATCCATTCCGAGCGGTAATAAACCAAGGCCATTCTCCTTTGTTGGACGGTACTTGCGAGTAGGACCCTCAACATCTACCTTAGACTATAAGCCAGAGATATTGCTGCCTGAGGGTAAACTGTAACAGGGTATTGATCGTGTGGTCGTGCTCGGAAAGAGCAACTGTCTGGTAGAGAGACGAAGGTCTGGGAAATTGGAAATGGTGCAACACCCGGTTGGACGGCAGCGTATGACGGAACATCGCATGGTCCTACAAACTACCAGTACTGTTGTGTACAGGTGCACCGCAGACGATTAGACCTTCCATGGAGTTCATGAAAATTGGAATATCATGAGTAACTCCACGGTAGAGCCTAAAGTGGCATTTCTGGCCGGGAGGTTGTCCCTACGCTATCAGATGCGTCTGTCACCTATGCGCTAGTGAGCATCCCTTTGATCATCCAAGTCAGACGGACTGCTTCCCAGTTCACGCTTTCTCTTCGCAGAAATTCCAGGTTCCTTGACGAAACCAGTAGTACAACCAACTTCCTGATGAGAATAACGGTTTATGCTGATGTTGTCACACAGGTAGCATCTTTGTAAAGACTGTAAGTCACCAGTTGGAAACCTAAGGTCGCCGCCAACCCGTCAGCTTCACTGGTTCTTTGGCAGGAATAATGGCGGGGAGGGCCAAGCACCCGCTGATGGCGTCGTTGGTTGGCAAGGGTTGATGCTCAATGTGGGGGTTGCGAACGGCTGCACCTAGGCAACTGCCCACCTGAAGGCGCCGGCTCATCACCGACACAACAAACGTCCAACGATACATCAACGGTTTTGTTCTGACTCATGTCTTTTAGAAATCTGGAATAGCCGTGTGGACATCATCTCCAAGTCTCTTTGAAGGTGCTTCCTACACATCATTCACTTACGTGCCTAGACGTCGTGCATCATCAGGTCCAGCTCCTCGTCATTCCCCCGGCGGCTCAGGACAGCTAGCAACCTCCTACGTCCTGGGAAATAGCCTCGATTCAGTACAAGTCAAAATCACATCTACATTCAATACCGAACATCCAAGTCCGCCGTCTGTCATTCCCGAATCTCGGAGGATCTCGCTGTACACCAAGCAGACACACGAAGGCTGTACCCCATTCAGAAGTGCTCGTTGCCTGTTCCACCGATAGACTGGATATCGTGGAGACCCGTCCGTTGCAACATCCCACACCACGCCCAGACGGAAAAAAGTCCCACGACACACTTCACTTCTCTTCTGTTCGAGCTCCGAGGAAGACGAAACTTCCTGGCTCCCCATCTCCGAGAGAAGACCACCTGAGCTTCTGTCCTCCCCGCTTAGACGGCCATGTACAACACAAGCAACATGCAGACCCCTGACGACGCTGAGGCGCCATTGTCCTTTATATACCCAATTGGTAAGCTGGTGGTTTCCTCAATTCTCACCCAACCAATCTGCCCATGTGCGAGATTGACCCAATATCGTTGGCCGTCCTTGTTGCTCAGCACCGAAAGGGAGCCACATTCGTTTCCTACAAACCTGTCCATAACATTCAGTGCCAAGCGGCATTTTGATACTCATGGAGGAATATCAGATCATTTGTCTTGCAACAAGAGTCATGATGTCCATCACTATTAGCGCCCGATAGACAGTCCGGCGTGGGGTGGATGCGTGTGTACCTCGCACTCCTCGCATGGCGATACCTGTTCCAGGAAACAATTCATCTCACATCCTTCGCATTCTACTCATGTCCTGAGTCAGTCGCATGCGCTCTCTAGTACGGTTGAGCTACCCGAAAGACGGGTGTTAGTTGGCTCAGGGATTGTGTCACTACCCATCCATTTAGACCCGAGTGTTTGTCACGAAGCAGGTCAACGCTGAATGGAAATACTTTGCCGGTTGAGACTCGGGGGAGTCATGTTTTGGCCATGATGCTAATTGAGAGTGAACACTGCAGGATATAGCAGCGCATCTGATTGCGGTTATTGTCGAGGGACTTCTCGTGCAGGTAAACGAAAACGTAAATGGAATTCCCATTTCGGCCCTACCACGCCCCCTTCTCCTCTCCCATATTTCCATATTTCCCGAGCACTACCGAGTCTCTTCCTCCCGGTGTTATACATGTAACACGATAGGCCTCATTAGTCTGGGTTCGTCGGTTTGTGCGCCCGAGGCCAAGGGACAACTTCCTAGTTGGGATATGGCTGAATGTAAGACCTACGTCTAACCTGCTTCAACACAGGTTACTCTTACTATGCTACGACCAAGTCCTTATCGACGGATTTGTATCAAAACCTAGTTGATCGGTATTGGAGACGATCCGGAACTCTTCTCTACAGGCCGAATCCGAGAAACTCTTGTTGCCCCCACTATACTCTTCGCCTGGATTCAACGGAGTTCAAACCGACAAAAGACCAACGACAAACTGTTAACCGGTTCAACAACTACGTTATCGGGCCTGAGTACACACACGCGGCTGCTCGTCTTTATCCTCGCACGCGCCAGGAAGCACGGAAACGGCGCAATGAGTTCGATTTGATTGACAGAATCCATGAGCCCGAGCTTCAGTTTCTGAAGACGCCTCCAGAGCCAGCTCACAGATTTCGTGTCACACTGGAGCCAGACGAGTTTACGGAGGAAAAGTATCTTGTCTTTGAGAACTACCAAAGAATTGTTCATAAAGAGGGCGGAGATAAGATATCGCGCCCCGGGTTCAAGAGGTTCCTGTGCAATTCGCCTCTCAAGCGTGAGACCATCTACAGTGCAGACGGCGTTCCACGCCAGGTTGGCTCTTACCACCAGTGTTACTGGTTGGACGAGAAACTTGTTGCCATAGGGGTGTTGGACTTGCTTCCCCACGCCGTCAGCTCGGTGTATTTTCTCTATCATGAGTCGTTTCACTCACACAGTCCAGGCAAGCTCAGTGCCATGCGAGAGATTGCTTTGGCTCGCGAGGGCGGCTATCGTTGGTGGTATCCGGGATTCTACATCCATAGCTGCCCAAAAATGAAGTACAAGATGGACTTCAAGCCGCAGTCTGTTCTCGATCCCGAGACGCTCACGTGGGATTTGATGGACAAGGAGGCGTTGGCGATTTTTGACAAGAATCACTACGTCAGCCTTTCCAGAGAGCGGCAACGAAAGGAATCAGGAGATGCCCCGAAGCTCTTCGAAGGCCATTTTGTTCAGCCAGAGAGTGATGGGGAAGGTGATGAGGAGGAGGGGGACTTCTTGCTGGGCAGCAGCATGCCAGGCATCCCATCATTGGAAGATATGAAGCAGCTGGATATGGACAACCTAGTCCTGTGTTCAGATGCTGCTCCAGGCTACTTTGTGACTTCCGACTTGGTCAGTTGGGAAGAGCAAGATATTGGACCAGACAGCAGGGCGATCAAATCGATGATAGCAGAGCTGGTGGCGGCGATGGGGACGGACGTGATGGACGAGATTTGTGTGGATTTTCGGAGGAAAACCCGTGTGCTCTAGTATACCTAGTGGTAGGCATACGAGGGGAAAGAGCACCGAAGGAAGCAGATGAGCCAAAAAAAGGAGCGGTTGTGTGTGTGTGTGTAGAGGTAGGCAGTCTTTTAAAACCCACGTGGGAGTTGAATAGCGCATACATAGGGTTTTATTTCAGCGCATTTTCTTCGTCTTTCGACGCTCGCATCTACGCGTAAAAGACCCCGGACCATTGGTTAGAGGCCAAGAATGGAAGCACGGGGTGTGTTGGTGAGTTCCTTCCCCTTTCACAAATGGCGCGAAATGTTCCTTCCTCCCTTGGCTGTTTGATGCATGTGGAACACCAAATTCGGCAATGACGACTCCCGGCTGCATCCATGAAATGAATAACCGTTTAATTGCGACTGGAGGACACCTCGTTGGCTGAGATTGGACGTCATCCATTGCGGTGCCGGAAAGGTCTTCTTGCCCTCCTTGGATTCCGATGCACGTTGGTGGTCTGAGAGGATGAGGAGGGTCAAAGACGGCCATTTTCCGGCAACAGCGCTTTCAGAGACGGCGAATACATGGCTCGTTATGTCTATTTTCCTTGACAACTTTCATGGTACCTGCTGCCTAAACGTGTACATCGACAATGGAGGGAACAACGGTCAACCTACCACTAGGAAGCATCACAGTTGCTCGCAAACACTCGCCCTTGTCGCTCGAACTGACAGCCTCTTTCCTCATTAACTCCGAAACGATCACTTTGGGGTTGAACCAGTTAACTGCGACCGGCTTGTTCCAACACTCCAAAGACGGAAATCTATGGATGGCAAAGTCGGGGTCTTGCCAGCTGGTCTTCAAGACATTCATCAATGGCCAGCTACCAGATCCAAACGTGATCAATCCAGCTATTATCTCATCTCTCATCGGCATGGCTGCTGAGTGCCCGGTAAGTCTCGCGATACCTCTCCGGCACTGATGGATCCTGATCGCTGGCTGACTTGTGGTATCCAGGTCTGGAAAGAAATCGATCTCGAGCTTAAAGCTAAGCATTTGCCACTTTTTCTCTGGTGGTTCCCAGGATGAAGACGAAAAGACCGAGACTTCGTACTTTCTCTGCCACCCCGATCTCTCGTCCGAGACGATTGTACCGCCCCCAGTGACTTGCGTCAAGTTCAAAGGCTTAGTGTGCAAGATCAATCTCCAGATTGATGCATCGTGGAGGGCCGGTGGACGTAGACGACCGTCAACAAAAGCCAATGAAGAGCCCATCCAGGTCGAACCTGAGCCTCCCGTGGCTGAAGAGTCCGGACCTGGCAAGCGAAGAAACCCACGGTGGATCACGAGGGCTGCAAACGTCAAGTATGCGGACACTTCGCGACAACCAGACAGGAAAGCTCGCCTAGACACTCAACCTGACTCGACAAACTCCGAGTCGGATGCGGTCATCCTACTCTCGATTTCGAAAGAGGAACAGAAGGAGATGGCGCTGTTTCTGGATGTGGCGCTCCGGAAGCTGATAGGAGTCAAACACACGTCCCCTGGGGTAAAGATCACTGAGGACACACAATTTCCCTCGCTGATTGAGATTGCGCCGGCGGTATGGAATATTCGCTATTTACAGGTATGTAAGGTCGTGCATGGCAGTAAGTACCGTAACTTGGATATGTGGGCTGACACTTGTGTGTAGTCTATGACAGCACATGCAAAGACAATCCCAGCAATTTCCAACGGAATAGCCAGGTTGCGCAATGCCCGGTCAGCAACGCTGAGGGAGAAAGTGAACAGGCTGCTGGGAGCTGAAGCTGTCAGTAGTACCCCAAGCCACCCAGACAATCTTGAAGACGGAATCAGAAAGGAGGTCGAGAAGCGGCTGTGGTTGTTATGCCAGACGAGTATCCGTGTCGAGCCTATTGTCAAGAACAGCAAGCGGAAAGTCAAGGGCGATGGGGAAGTCCCAGCAGATACACTCGAGGAGGAGATACTGGAGAAGTTTACTCAACTGACTGAAGATGGCTGGGCGAACCATCATCATTCGTTTTTGGCTTATGACTACCCTTTTGATCTTTTCGAGGAAGGCACAGACACAGATATGGAGACGGACACAGACGCGGTTGAGTACGAGTATCAATACGAGCTGGGAAATGCCACCCTTTTGGAGGATGGCGAGGGGTGGTTGTCCGAGGATCACACCGAGGAAGAAACATATGGCGAGAGCGAGCTCGATCTCGGAAATGATGATAGAGAGGTCATGGCACTCTACGAACCTCATCCGAGTTCTGAAGGTGACTACGTCTATGCAGATGGGCTCGGAAACCTTCATCCGATTCCGAGGCATCAAGCAATACAGGCTGGTCAGATAGACGGTCTAGCGGGTGATGAGCTGCCTTTTGAAGAGGAGTACTATGAAGAAGAGTTTGGGGATGCGGAAGAGTATTTAGGAGGATATCTACAATGGGATTTTGCATAAAATCATTGATTCGCACCGTACGGGACCAAAGCACTCCAGCAGTCCGTGACATTGTGTCATAAAACCTCCGAGATGTTGCTCAGAATCACAACAAAGGGGATTTGATTCAACATAAATTCTTTCGCGTGTATTTCCAACAGCCCTAAGCACACGACTCCAAAACCGTCCTAGATCGTAACATGTTATCCGTTATCCGCTGGGCAAATAGCCAGGCCTGTATCCAAGCACCATGAGTGACGCCGTTGCCATCCTTGGGGCTTTCTCCCACCAGGGGATCAAGGAGGCATATTCCAATCGGTGAAGTATCCTCTCATGTGGGCACGCGTCCCAGACAACTTCGAGACTCGGGTTTACCAAAACAGGGTATCTCTCGCAGAAGAAGAACCCGGTTTTCTGTCCCCCGTGGATGTCGATGTTGCAATCCCTGGGAATAGACGCTTCGACTTCCAATGGCTTCCACATCTTTCCATCATCGTTCACCAAGGCAGAATCCGACCATCCTTTGCCTTGCTCTCTCTCCGGTGCCTCCCTATCCCCCCCCCCCAACTTTCATCCCACTTATACTGGAAATCCTCCCCCATCTATACCCTTCCAACCGATTTCCTCCCATCTATCTCCCTTCAACCCGTTTTCATCCCTCAACTCCTTGCCCCACCCGGCGCAGCCTTCTTGTTATCTCCCGGGCCCGCGGCCCCCTTCTTCTTCTTGTTCTTGGCCGCCCGCTGCTCCGGCTTCAAAGTCGCGTAGTGGATGTACCACAGCAGCACGCATTGGAGGATGACGGCGATGAGCACGACGACGAGAATCGTAAAAAGGATGGGCTGGTCGTTGAGTACCGCCACAGCCTGGGGCGTGGCGCCGATTTTTGAGAACCAGTCGAATTGGCCCATTTTGTAGGTGTGATGACGCTTTGGTTGTGGTTCTTGATGTGTTCTGGTGGGTTATGAGACTGGTCGTTGTGTTGTGGTGGCCGATGGGCGTTTGATTTGTTATCGGTTGATATGAAGGAAAATGTATGATGTGATGATGCGCTTGGTTTGCCAGTCGCTGTCGTTGTGCTCGGGTATAAATATGGGTGATGATGAGAGTGATCGATAAGGAGGATATGGTATCTTAATAGTAGGTGGCCACCAGGGCGTTTGATTGAAGTTCGAATTAAAAGGTTCTGATGGTATTAAAAAAAATTGGTATGCTCCTCGAAATGTACGTGGCTTTTGCTTGCGCCGCGTGACAATGACAGGGAGTCGTGTGCGATGAAGTTATTCCCAGTCGCGAGTTTGGGATGAGGACATGAAGATCAGGAGATTGAGAATAGAAGAAGGAAAACCAGACAAGATCAGTTCACGGCAAAAAGATACTCACAGTCTCTCCTTTTACCAGGAAAGCCAGAACCTACCAGGGGCATGAAACCGAGGACGTCACATTGAAGAGATGCACAAGTCAAGATCTCAGGCGACGGACGGCGCGCCAACGTGGGCGGCAAGAGAGCTTCAATTTCAGGGGTTCATGTGTGCTGTTTCAGACATTCAGAGCTGCGACAGAAAAGGGTCCCTCCAGATCCCCTCCAAGCACATGGACGCCTTACGTAAGCAGGAAACGGGCTCTTGGCAGCTCGTCCGGACTGGCCCCCTTGCCCCCGTGTTCCTGAACGATTGCCGTGGCCGGTTCGGCGGGCGCGGTCGAAGTGCGGGACGCAGCGGGAGCTCTGGGAAGCTCGGACCACCAAAAAATTGCTGGGGGGCCGGTCGGTCGTTTCCGTCGCATGCCACTTTGGATTGGCGGGCGCCAGTCTCCAAAAAATAGTAGAGCCGCGAAATAGACTCGACGAGGGACGACCGGCTCCGAGGGTTCTTAACCGCGAAGGAAACCAGCTGCTGCCGCCATTGGGGGACGCCCAACAATCGACCCTCCCCTCCACCACCACCACCTTCTCTTCACCCCCTCCGGCTTCCGTCCAGCCCCCGCCTGCCAACCATGAGTGCGGCACGCTTCGCTGCCCGGAGTTTCCTCTCCCGGCGTCTGGCCGCCGCTGTCCCGGCCGCTGCACCGGCAGCTTCCACTCCGGCTGCGTCGACATGTCAGCAACAGCAGCAGTCCCAATTCCACAGCTCCGCCCAGCTCGAGGCCCGGAGGCGATCGCGCTTCAAGAGTGTCCGCGCCGTCGAGATGGGCCTGACCTCGGATGAGAAGATCGAGAGTTTCACCAAGAAGAAGTTCGCCGACTACACGGAAGACGAGAAGGCCGCCCTCGCCCACAACTACCCTGCCGAACACATGGAGGCCATCGAGGCCGCCGAGGCCGCCATCGACCCCAAGGACCTGACGATACAAGGTCGCCTGCGCATCGACCCGTACCGCATGCCCTACATCGACGACTTTAGCGAGATACAACCCATCATCGACAGGCGCGCCCGCCCCCACGCGCCCCCCAGCCACAAGGCGCGCTTCATGGACGTCGACGAGTTCACCCAGGACCTGATCAACTGGGCCGACGAGATCCGCCGCGGCGAGCCGACGCACCGGATGAAGAAGCTGAAGGACTTCGTACCGGAGCAGTACCAGAAGACGCCTGAGGGGCAGTGGCCAAAGGACATCCGGGATGAAGCCTTTACCAACTTCTGGGCCTACCTCAAGGAGCAGAAGGATGCCGACGCCAAGGCCGCCGCCCAGGCGACCGGTCCTACCGACGGCGACATTCTCTCGTACATTCTTGAGCGCTCGTCCATGACCGACAACAACCTGCAGGCCAACTCGTCGCTGGCGCCCGCCCTTCCCGATAAGGTCCCCGGCGTGGCAGGCAGGTACAGGAACGCGATCGACCCGGCCGACGACGGTCTCGATGACAAGGGTCAGTACCAGGAGCTGAAGAAGCGGACGGGCATGACGGTCCGTCAGATTCTCAATCTCCAGACTAAATTGCTGGTCCGACGTCGTGTCGTGAACCAGACCCGTCTGGGCAAGATTGCCAGTGCCTCAGTCATGGTTATTGCCGGAAACGGCGACGGCTGGCTCGGTCTCGGTATGGCCAAGTCGGTCGAACCTCAAATCGCTCAGGAAAAGGCCACCCTGATGGCTATCCAGAGCATGCAGCCCATCCCCCGCTACGAGAACAGGACCATCTATGGCGAGGTCACCGCCAAGGTTTCTGGCACCGTTGTGCGCCTGAACTCGCGTCCTCCTGGTATGTCTATGCCGTTGTCATTTGTTTTTCCCCCTTTCTCATCCAAATCATATTTGTGATCCCCACTAACATGTGCAACTTTCTCTTTCTTCCAGGATTCGGTCTCCGCGTCTCCCATCGTATCTTCGAAATGTGCCGCGCCGCCGGCATCCGCGACCTCAGCGCAAAGTTCCTGCGGTCGCGCAACCCCATGAATACAGTAAAGGCCACTTACCAGGCCCTTCTCAGCCAGCCCAACCCCGAACAGCTCGCCATCGGTAGGGGCAAGAAGCTCGTCGACGTTCGCAAGGTTTACTATGGCGGGTCTGTACACTAAAGAAAAGAAATCTGTAAACAAAAGAAAGAAGATGAAGATGAAGAAGCCTTGTATTATTCCCCCCCAAACCCTTTTTTTGTGGACGTGCGCTTGCTTGCTTGTCTCTAATCTGTAAATATATGTACATTACTACGTTATACTGAAAGATCATGAAGCTGAGCGGATCACAAAAAGGGAATATGTAGTAAATCAGTGGTGGCATATGTGTTGGTGGGTGTGTGGGTATGATATGGGTTGGTTATATGCATGCGATTTGGGAAAAATAGAGTGGATGGCGTTGGACTGTGTTGCATTGTTTGCTTGATGTCTGACACACCGTCCGTCCTCTTCGCCTTGACCTTTCCTTTTTGCTCCTTCTTTCTGTAACATCCAATCCTTAAGTATATCCTCCGCCTCCGGTCGAAAGTATTTCCTTGTCCTCTGCCCTCTATTCAATGTCGTAGTCTCATAATCGCATAAGTTCGTCATCTTCAATCGCGCCATGAAAATAACGTGGAATCTTCCGTTTCCTCCCCTCCAGGTCTCTCTGTTCCTCCCTACCTCTTTCCCTCCCTCTCTCTGCATCTTCTCCCTTCCTCCATCCCACATCTCTCCCATCAACGCCCCCCTTCTTTTCACGACTGTCCCCCACCAGCTCCTCCGCCTCCACCTTCAGGTCCCTCACCATTTCCCCCACCAGCAGCAGGACCACCCCAATCAATCTCTTGTTGCAAAACAATACTGTAAACGCTCGCCTTCAGCAGGGTAAACACCAAACTGGTCTTGCGCTCCAGCTCCCTTAGTCCGTCGAGGATTGCGACTGAGGGCTGGGAGGCTAGGGTATCTAGTAGTGAGGCGAGCTAGTATCAAGCAAACAACAACAACAACAAGATTGTTTGTTAGTATGATGATGATGATGATGATATTTCGGGAAAAGGAGAAAACAGGAATTGGGGAATATGAGTTGTGGTATAGAGGTGAGTAAGTACCTTTTTCATGTTCTCTGCCAAACGCTCATATTCGTCTAGAACATCTTGTTCTGTGGGTGTGAGTTCTGGTGGGGAGTTGAGGAGGGTGTTCGGTTGTGGTTGTTGTTGTTCCATTTTGATGGAGATGTGGTGGAAATTCGACTGTATCTGATCAAATCAAGCGGTTCACACGTCGCATTGGTAATTGAGAATTGTTGATTAGTTTTGAGGTCCAATCTGGCATGAGTTGCCATTCAGTGAAGAGAAGCCGAGTTGGGTTGTTGATGGGGGAAATAGAAAGACGGTCGCGAATCGCGATTGGACGTGCTGTGCGGGAGCATGCAATGTTTCGCTTTATAGGGAGGCAAGTGGTGTAATTACAGTGTTCTACCAAGTGGTAAATTACACTGGGTACGGTACCTCAGTAACAATCAACGCTTTGTTTTGGTTACCCCTTTCTCTGGACCTGCAAACAGCAGATATACTTACATCAACTTCGTACATTGTCCCGATATTACCCTTGACATACACACCCTTTGATTACGTCCTCCTCCAACGCCTCATCCGGTTTTTTTTGTGCTTTATCGGTCTTGGACATCATAAGATATACAACCAGCCCACGCTCTGCTATAAATATTCTGAAAAACAACAAACCAAGCCATTGGGACTCCCAGATATTGCACATCCTCAATGGGAAGCAAGCGGGTGGCGTTTGCAGATCTTCCCGGTAATAAATGTCAGTAAGTCCTGGTCTTCCTTCTCCTCATACTACTGGCCGAACTGTTCTGCCTCTCGTGCGCTTCCACGCCTACTGGCACATCCTCCAGCGCTCTCAGTTGCCTGGGGTTTACAAGGCGCTTGACAGCACCGTACCAGCCCAATTCTTGTCTCTTCCACGCCTTCGGTTTGATCCCGTTGGACGGAATCATTTCCAGAATGACACGAGGTAGCGATTCTCCCGACGCCGATCCCTCTTCTGACTCATCCATCTGAGTCTCGGTTTCCGTGTCTGCATCAAATCCCACACGTCTCTGAGGATCAGGGTAACTGGTGTTTTGTGCCATAGTCATTCCCGGGGGCATCATCATCAGATGAACGTGGCCGGGCGAGAGTGGCGTGATCGGAGTTGTGTCTACAGTTTCCTGAATCAAGCCATGCTCATTGTCTTGAAGGTTGCTATCACCATAGTGACTGGCTGTAGCCGTTGGTAGCTGGAAAGAGGGCGGTAAAGACGGACGTTGTCCGTGTAGATCCGACTGAGGGACCGGTTGAGCAGTCGGTGAAGCAGTACCAGGCGGAGGATAAAATCCGGTTCTGCCTGTGTTTCCCACGAAAGGGTTAAATCCGATTGCTTGCTCCTCGTCTGTTTGTTCTCTTCGATGAGGATGGCTGCGACTCTCCTCTTGATCCAGGTTGACTTCCACGGCATGGTCATGGGTTGGATGGCGTCGCATCTCCATTTGTTTCTTCATCCGTCTGTGCTTCTGCCAGATAAGTTTTCCGATCCACCAACGCCATGTCTTCAAAGAGAGGAAGCCTGTAGGGGTCGCTTCTTCCGTCTCATTTTGACCCCTGTTACCATCAACATTGGTAACTTCAGTCCCACAAGTATCCCCATTATCAGTAATCTCCGTTCCTGCAGGGAGAGGAAGAGGGTAAGGAAAGACTGCAGCCGCACTGGAAAGTGAACTCACTACCACCCGTTCAGTCGCAACCTCAACCCAAACTTCGGCCTTGCGGACTATGTCCGCATAGATGATCAGGCAGGCAATGATGGAGAGTGGAATGACAATTGCCCAAAAGATGAAGAACTTGGGACCGCCGGGCTCATACTCGTCCTCCATGGAGAGAATCCCAGAGACAATAGGGAACGGAAGTAGGATACCACCTAGGTAAGAGATGCGCTCAAGGGCCCGCCGGTTATCGGCAGATTCTTTGTCGGATGTGCCATGCTGGCGGGAGTTGATGCGATGAAGGTGGCTGCGTTGAGGTGTTAGGCTTGCGTAGGTTGCTATCCGGTTCAGGTTGTTACCCGGTGTTGTCGTCCTGGATAGAGGAATGTTGGTGAACCTCGCTGTAGAGTTCAAAGCCGTTGACCTCTTTTTCGGCGGCTTAATCTTCTCCTGGGTCACGCATGTCGGTGGGTTCTCGGGAGGTGTGGGGATAGGCAAGAGGATGGGGACACCTGGTGATGCATTGAGAAGAGCGATTCGGCGCTTAGCTCGAGAAAGAAGCGTCCTCCAATCCGGTCCAGATGAGGAACCTCTCTCGGTTCCCTTGATGCGACCCTGGTGGTCGGTGTAGAAAGCAGTGTCATCGGCGTTCCGCTCAAGTGACTGCACCATATGCCAATAGAGAGTGATGCTCTTTGACACTTCTCTCTCAATGAACTTCGGCTGCGAAGCCGTCGGGGGCGCCAATACCTCGAACAACTCGAGCCAGTGATTGTAGACGATGTCAGACAGGACATCCACGACGAAGCTTGCCGGATCAACCACCTGCGTGTCTTCGCCGACGTTGTGGCAGAGCATTTCGTAAACCAAGTCTTCCAGACATGGGACCTCTTCTTCTTCACGATCGTCATATCCGTCGACGGCGGCAACTCGAGGTCTCTGTGCTTCCATGACAGGGCCTGTCTTCTTGGCCGTAGGAAACGAGGCCTTTCGCAAATGTGACGGAGCAGCGTCCCTCCAGAGCGGCTTATCCAAGAACAGTACTCCAGCCCGGGGGCTGTGTTGCTGAACAGAACTGATCCATAGAGATGCTCGGTAGAGGGCTGCCGCCATCCCCTTTTGTTGCTTCCCCTCTTCTGTCAAAGGTAGGACTTTGGGAACGGTGGCCATCAGATCAATACCATCGAGACCCTCTCTAGGGCTGTGATGAGTCTCTCGTCGGGCCATCGAGGCATGATCGAATCCTTGTATCAACTCGGGGTACTCGAACTGCGCGAAGCAGCCTGCTTTGGAGCTTCTGATTTTCGAAAGACCTCGTCTGCGAGGGAGAGTCAGGCCGGAGCGTGAACAGTAGCTTCTCCGGGCAGCATGTGCGTCCAGAAACGCAGAGTCAATGCTGAGCTCCTCACTGTTGCGGAGGATGTCGACGTAGTTCGCAGGGAGGCCATGGACAACAAACAAAGTAACAGTTCCATCCTTGTCCAAGCCTGATATCAACTCACGCAGGACGTCTGGACTGCTAATAATCGTTCGCCGGCATTGTTTCTTGGGATCCCATTCGAGCATGTAAGCAGGCGAGGTCTCAAACTCGTAGAGCGGAGGGGCAAGGGAACCGAGACGGTGATGGTAGAAGATGGAGGAGGCATCGCGGGGTGGCTTCTGTTGATGGTGCAATTGATGCTTGGGTACGGCCTCGTGGGCATCGTTCCGCTCTTCGTCCGAGTCCATTGCGTGTCGGTGTCTTGCAGAGCCTCCGTTTGGCTGGGGGCTGCCACACGTTGACAGTTTTGTTGTCGATGATGAAAGGCTCTTCGTGGAGGCGAAGAATAACGAGGTTAACGAGAATGTCTCACGGCACCGTCTTTCATTGTTGGCGTAAAAGCTCCTTCCTTTCGTTCATGTTGGTCATTTCCTTCCGGCTTTGAGGGCCTTCACGAAGAAGGTGCTGGTGTACTGCCGTGGATGATGCTAGTGTCATCGTTCCTTCTGTTTGGATGTCCAGTCAGTCAACAAGGGAGGTTATTATGAGCAACCTCAACGGACACTCGTGTGGTTTCGGTTGCTCCTTTCCGCCTGTGCCATCGTTACCGTGATGAATTGTGCTTATCTCTCAAAATCGGCAGGAGTGTCCCCCTTTCTCGACCCACAGCGATCACGATTCACTGCATAACGGGACACTGTCGTTCATCTGGGCCAACACAACTCGGAGGAAGCTGCATCGAGTGACTGCAGAGAAGCAGGGAAGGAATCAATGAATGACTGCAGTCACAGCAGACATAAGGTATCTTGTTATCCGAAACCCGCTTGTCAATTTCCAGTGCAGCAACGTCAAAGCAACGAAACGGCCAAGACGACCCGGGACTTCGACTGTCTCTCAAACTTAATGTCCAACATCTTCTTCTCCGGATAAGCTGGGTGAACTGGTGCTGTGAATGCAAATGGCCCTTGGCAAATATGTAGCTTCATCGGACTTCAAAGATATTCGCATGGCTCCGAGTCAGGCCTTCAATCGTACACCATCGTTGTATTTACTTTGTGATTCCATTCGTGTTGCACCATGTCTTTCCAATATCTGATGACTAGATACTTTTCCCGCTCACCACCACTCCCACGCCGAACAGCACCGGTTGCTTTTCTTCCCTCTCCAACAAGTTACGTGCCGTATAATAATAAAAGCTTTGCTAGGTCTCCTCAACTGCGCTGGTTTCTTTCAATCCCTCCTTCACCCTTGGCTTCCCTTCCAAAAAAAAAAAACGCCACCCGCCATGAAACTCCTTCAGATGAAGATAGAAATGAATATGGTGAACCAAACCCCTTAAACGAAGTCCTCTGAGCGCTCGTGTCCACGTGTCAGTCTAAAATGAGCGAGATGTGCAAGAAGAACTACAAACCACGCTGCAAGCAGGCCTGTGTCAGCTCTGCAAGTAGTGTAAAACAAAAAAAACAGAAAACAATGACGCCCTGCGACGAGACGCAAGGCAAAGGAGCGATGGATGACGGAGCCACCAATTAACCGCGGCCCCTCCCAAACGAAGGCGCCATCAAAAGAGCTGACCCAGAGGGGGTAGGACCTCCCGGAAACCTCCTTATCGCTTTTCATAAGCATCAGAATGGTACTCTTCATCGCCATCGTGATGTAATGTGACGCTGTTGAACTCCTCGAATGGATCGACGGCGTTCTCGCCTGGTGTCACCGTTCCACGTTCAAGCGGCTCCCCCTTGAGGCCCATCTGCCTAGACCCGCTAATATCCACGCTCTCACTTTCCTTAACGTTGCGGAAGTTTAATGTATCAATGCCACGGCCCTGGTTGGGGACAATGGGTGGCTTCATATGACGGATCAAAGCCCATTGTGTCGTCCTGAAGAAGGGGTGAGTCTTGATGTCGGACGCGCCAGCACGCGCACCTAGACGACGGTTCTCGTCCTTGATAAGCAGTTTGCGGATGAGTGATTTGCAAAGGCTAAACGTCCATCGTTAGCAAGAAGTCAAGGCAGCGGATCGTTATCGACAAGGATGCGGGACTTACTTTGATATTTGGGGGGCGCCCGCATGGTCAGGGAAAGGGATATCTTCCCTGAGAATGTTGGCGAAGGTAGCGTTACGGTTCTTACCCTTGAAGGGAGTAGTGCCGTAAAGCATTTCGTAGATGAGAATTCCTAGCGTCCACCAATCTACTGCACTGGTATGCCCACTTCCCTTAATGACTTCGGGGGCGATGTACTCTTCCGTACCCACAAACGAGTTTGTACGGAAGTTTGCTATGCAGGATTTGGTGTCGATGGTCGGCAACGACGACGTACTCGTGCCGTTCTTGCCAATAATCATGGTCGGCTTGCCACCGGGGTCGGACTGCTTGGACAGATCGAAATCTGAAAGCATGATATGGCCAGACTGGTGAAGGAGAATATCTGTGATGATCGACAATTAGTTATGCGAAATGATCGGCATGATGAAAGGTGGGAACGTACTCTCGGGCTTGAGATCCCGGTAAATGAATCCCATGAGATGCAGGTATTCGAGCGCAGCAGTAACCTCTGCGGCGTAGAAGCGAGCATCGTCCTCGGGAATGCATTTTCCGGGACGTGTCTGAAGAGCCCTGAAGAACTCACCACCGCTGCAGTATTCCATGCAGAGGTAAAGATAGTCCTCGGACTGGAAGGAGTGATACAGAGTCACAATGAAGGGATGGTTGCTTGTAGCGAGAATTTCCTGCTCGGCCAAAGCCCTCTTAATCTTGTTGCGCTTGATCATTTCCTTCTTGCTCAGGACTGTTTTGGGTTGTCAGTAAGGGGTTGGGCTTTGTATCGGATGGATGCGAAGACGTACCCTTCATAGCATATAACCTCCCGCTCTTCTTCTCCTTGACGAGATAGACCTTGCCTACATCGCCCTTGCCGATCAACTTGATCTTGTCGAAACTCTGGGGGCCGACCTCAACATTGCGGACCTTGATGGAGTTGGAGCTGTATGTTCGGCGGAAGGCGAGCGGCGACTGGCGGATGGGAGGAGGCAGCGCTCCGAGACCATCGGCATCGGCATCGGGCGCGGCCAGACTCGTGGAGGAATCGTTGTTGGGCTTTTGCTCTGCGAAACCGACTGTGTTGGAATCCTTGCTCTCCTCTAGCGGCTCCTTGCTGAGCTCGGCCGTGGCAGGGCGGTCGCCGTTGCCCTGACCCTTTGAAAACAGGCCCTGTGCGTTGGGGGCACTGGCGACTCTCCTTAGCTTCCTCGCAAGCTCTTCCTTCGTGGCAGCGGTGGGCTGCTGCGAGCCTTCGGGGCCGTCGACCTTGAGCGAGGGAGTGTCGGGCGGGCTGGGCGGAACGGAGCCGTCATTGTGATGGCGCAGGCCCGGTTGGCCCTGGTGGGCGAAGTACGGGTTCGCGTGTGCGGTTGGACTCATGGATTCGTCGAGCGGATTGCCCTCGCTCACGACAGTGGCACTGCGAAGACGGCCGACGCTGAAGAAACGGGACTGACGGAAGGTCTTGGAGTTGGAGTCGGCGCGTGGTGCTCCGCCGTGGGAGCTGGAGGTGGTGTTGGCATCGCGGTCCTTGTGGTCTTTGGAGCCGGAATTGATGCGGAAGAATTGCTTGAGGCGCGAGGGGAAATGGCCTTCGCCGTTGACTTTGCTTGTGGACGGCATCCTTGTGATGTAATGCTCATGAGGACGAGTCCATGATGCGACTTGGATGGGAGGAAGGGGGAAAGACGGGGGGTGCCAAGGTGCACTGGACTGCGAGTGCGCGAGGTGCCAATGCAGTGGAGGGTGCTGGGTGCAGCGGGTGGTCTGGCAGTTCCGGTCTGAGTGTGGCAGCAGGCGCAGGCAGTGCCTGAGAGATGTCGAAAGAGCGGATGGCCGAAGTGGATAACAGATGACAGGACCGAACCAGTTGCGCTGTGCCCACTTCTTTACGAACGCTGGCGGCGGCCACCTTCCACTTCCAGCACGCCGTCCAATGGGCTGCAGGCGTCGCTGCCGGGCACTCTGCGATGGAGACTGAGACGGGCTGACCTGCCTGGAGCTGGAGGCGAAAGCTGTTTCGCTTCAGTTTTTCTTCCCGTTCACGTCTACAATGGGCGGCTGCTAAACACACAGTGACAGGATAGAAATATTGCTTCTTATCACCCGCTTAGCCGGCAAGCGCTCAATTGTGGTGATATTCTGTTAGTGCAGCAGCCCAAGTACGTTATCAATCATGGGTGTCTGCTAGATTGGGGAGGTCCAAACACTTGGTGTCCAGAGACTCCATGGAGACTGCCTGTTTCCAAGGTCTTTGGCTCTCTCAGGTTGGTGGAGTGTCACGGGACCTTCCGGCGCACGCCGACTGGAGCGATGAGAACGAGACCCGACCATTGAACTGCTGCGCCTTCTTTTCAAGTCCCGTCCGCAAAAAGTGAGGTGTTCTCGTCCAGTCATTTATCAGCATGCCATGCCATCTGTCAATCGATCATCCATTCGAAACTGCATTTATCAGCAACGAAACCACCAACCCGTCTTGTTCGTGATGAGGCTCTTTTGGTGCTTCAGATTCAACTGTCAGAACAGCCTCAGCAAATATGTAATCGTGGGCCATACGACGATGTGTAAGTACCTCGGAGTAGCGTATCGAGCGCGATGTCTCAGAACCAGCCGTTTCTACCGTCGAACAATACGCAGCCGCAATGCTCAACTACACCACTGGTTTCTGTTGGATCGCAATCCTTCCAGGCCCCTGTGAATTCCCCCCACCAGACTTCGCAGAGCTTGGCAACGTCTTGATGGATCCAGACTGTCGATGGCTGCTGAGCACCTGCAGATGCCTAGACTTAGTCTCGTGTGTAGATGATGGAAAGGCTGGGACATCTGAGATATGTTGACTCAGTATGTATAGTGATGGAGTAGATAATGGTCTTCAAAGGCTTTATAAGCAGACACATTGTATATACTTCCCGTCGGCAATTGTTCGGAGCATAGCCCGTTACAGCAATTCCCGTTCGCAATCTGGAACTCCTTGGCCATGTCTTTTCCTCATCACAAGTTAGGTATTGAGCGCGGGCAAGGAAACAGCCAAGCAACCAACCCCAAGTTCCACGTTGACACATCCCGTCAAGCTGGGGGACCGGGGATGCCAAGGCTACCCCGGAAAACGAAAGGTGGTTGAATGTTGATGGTCACATTGCACTTTGCAGTCAACATTTCCATGCTCCGTTTTCTTTCAAGACTCTCAGATCCAGATATTCATTCGTCCCTGGCGTGAAATGCTTCCATCGGCCCTATTCAGCTCCTAATATCTACACAATAACACAGGCTCCCGTCAATTTGCCTTCAACGCTGCTGTACCACCATGAGTCTTACACCACACGCTGCCAACCAAAGTACCTGCCTAATTCGGCTGTCAAAGTCGTGTTCTTTTACATGTCTCTTCCTCGTTCTTATCCAGCCTTTTCGCTCTGCAACCCATACAAGTAAAAACAACCACCATATGAGACGCGCTGAGTTGTAAAGGTTTTTCAGCACTGCGTAAGCGTATACGTGAGTTTTCTTTGTTATTGTGGTCGTTCCTTCAATGAAAAAAAGGGGCGAAAACACAAACGCGGTTTCCCAGCGATCTTTGTAGAGGTGTCTTACTTGATGAGTTTCTCTTCTCAGTTCTCTAATGCAGTTTTCTTTTCCGTAATAACCTATGGTGAAGGATTAAACTGAAGACACTGCTAGTATGAAGCCTACAAAATTGTAGCATATGTGGTGACACGGACTTCGAAGCCTTCACTTGAATACCTCGATCGCTTGGTATATATCTAATACGCCTCTGTGCCTTTTACACCGCATCTCACGCCGAAAGTACAATATCAGCTAGAATCACATCCACAGCCTTCTCTATTTTCATTTCGCTCGTATTACCATCATTCCTCTCACTCTCACTCTCACCCTGAAGCTCAATCCTGATAAAGCCCCCTCCAGGCCGATCCCACCACAACTCAACATCTTCCTCCTAACCTCTTTCCCAACACTTCCAGCAGGATTCTCCGGGTCCGCGGGAATCGTCACCTCCACTACGGGTCCCATCACTTTATCGTAATAATCCCAAAACTCGTCCTGCTTCTTCTTCTTCGCCGCCAAGCTCGCCTCTATCGCGTCCCGCTCAGCCTGCGTATAAACCGGCTCCGGCGCTGCGTTTTCGTCTCTCTGGAAATGCACCCGCTCCAAGCGCGCGCGGCGGCGGCGCTTGTCGTCGTCGTTTTCGTAGAGCTGGTCCCGCACGGAAGGGGTCACTTGGGTGCCGGAGACGTCGAAGAGGTAGGGTGGTAAAGGTTGGGGTTTGACGGCAGGTGTTGCCTTTGGGATGGTGATGGTGGGGGCGGGGGTGGCAGAGGCGGTGCCGGCGGGCTGTGAGATAGTTGACGGTTGTGGTAGGGCCGATGTTATGGTCAGAGGTTTCTCGGAGAGGGGAGACTCGATGCTGGTGTTGCGGGGCCCGTCGCCGACGTGCCAGAGGAAAGGTATCAGGTGGTTTTCGTCAACGTGGGCTTCGAAGTCGGCTTTGGTTGCTAGTGCGAGAGGTGGGAGCTTGGAATGGAGACTCTTGCTGTGGCAGGAAGCCCATTTGCATGTCTTGGGCTCTTGTTGTTCTTTTGCTGGTTGACGATTTTGTCTGTAATCCCCGTGTACGACTAAAACGTGTTTCCGTAGAGTCTCGAAGTTGTGTAGCTCGGCCGGGCATCCCTCCCATTCGCAGAGGAAGCGAATGTACCGCGGTGTGAGTTTGGAGAATATTTCTCTAGGTAACTCGTGCGACTTCTTGGGGGGACGACCTCTGCGCTTGACTTCGCCTGGCGCTTTAGGCGCTTTTGGAACTTTGGGTCGTGAGGGAGGTACTGGATTTCCTCGCATTGCGGCATAGGACAAGCCTGGTCGCCACCCGACTGGCCGCCCTCGTTTCTTTGGTGGATTGACCAGGGGTGCTGTTGGAGCTGAGATATCCGGTACTGGAAACGGTGGTGGTTGCACCTTCGGGGGCACATAGTTGGATGCACCAACAACAGGGTGAGTTTTTGTTGTTGAGCGCTCCGTGATCTTTCGCCTCTTTGGGGTAGGAGGCACAAGGTCTGATGTCACGATATTACCGGCCATTGTGTCTTCTTCCTTCTCTTCCTTCTCTTCCTTCTCTTCCTCCTCTTCTTCCTCTTCTTCCTCTTCCTCATCTGACGGAACATCTGGGACGCTAATATAGGCGTCCTTCTTGACACTGGCCGGTAGCATGACGGCGACCCGGGCTGACCTAGGTGTTCCATCGCGAACAGGTGTCGACGTCGGCGTCACATGCCGCTCAGATCGTGAGGGTTTCAAAGGCGAGCTTGTCGATCGCCTCTGTTGTTGGGGAACCTCAGCGGGCGTCTGGAGCGGTGGCTCATCCTCCGCGTCTTCTGCGTCATAAAACTCATCCACATCCTCGTCATTACCCCCCTGTAGGTTCGGATCTAAATCCGGATCATAATCATCGCCCAGCTCATCGTAATCGTCCTTAGGATTATAATTGAATTTGTCGATTGGGTCTTCATCGGGGTAGAGATCCAGGTCGTAAGGCATCCTGCCACCTTAACTCATACAAGTTTGCAGTGAAATAAGTTTGAGTTTAGAGAGAGATAAAAATAAAGATCGTGGCCATGCAGCAAGGTAAATCTGGGTTCTGATTAGTCGCATCCTCTGCCACAAGTGAGGATTTGTTACGTACATTTTTGACTGCTAAAATTGGCGGTTTAAAATGAAATGTCACTTGAAGATCCGCTTTCTGGGAATCGAAAGACCATCCAGCAGATATTAAGTACCTTATTGTTGACTGACAGAGGGTTGATTGGCGAAGTAGTGCTGGCTTCCTACAGTTAATAGGAGAGTGTGTGGGTTGATGGGGGACTGACGTGACTGGACGTGATGTTGGTAATGAAACTACTACTTCCAGCTGCACGGCTCGGTCCGTGGTCTGTGCGTAGTAGTAATTACCGAGGATTCGCAACTTCCTAACTTTGAAAGATGAATTCACGGAGAAACAGCTTTCTTTATATGCTTCCACAACAAATGTGTATCTTTGAGCTCTCGTCCGTGCTGGATCAAACTTTAGGTTCAACTAGTTTGAAAGCCCACGACGTCAACAACTAATTCATGGTACCTCCTAGACTGTAGGAAGTGGTCAAAAGGCTCACCCATTGTTGGCTAAAAGGGTACTACTGATGCTCAGCAAAACATCCAAGGTATCGTCTAGTCGCCCTTGTATTTACGTGGGCAGTCCATCCGAAAGACGTATGGTTGAATGCTCCAGCCATTACAAAGCATAATGAAGCCGTCTAAGAGGCAATCGGTTGACAACTAGCTTCTGCTCTCTGCCCAAACATTACTTTGAAGACAATATGGCCACATTTTATGGCTCTAGGTTTGACTCTGCTTGCCGTAAACGTCGTTGGGGTCGGCCACAACGTATTCTTGAAGACTGGTCGCAAGCCATGCGTGTATCTCTGACTTGGCCCTTATAATCAACGCCTCTAAGTCCTCATCATATGCTGCGGTCTTATAACACTTAACCCAATTCCGAATAGGAGGGCCTAAGCTGCGGATTACCAACGAGCAAGTTGGGCCACGTTGCGTGCATGTGGCAGGACGAACTGATGAATCGAAGTAGATAACAACTGACATGTGTTGATATACCCCATATCTCGAAGTTCCCTGTACCCGTCTCTGTTCATAGAAGGATTGATGGCGAAGGCGACTAAACACGCGAGACACGCAAGGATTATGGAACGAAGTGCTGGACCCGGGCATGCCTATGATTGTGTGTGTGAGCTAGACTAGTTCATGACCAGAGCTTCCAAACCAAAACCTGACGACATTCTTGTCACTGCTCCTTTGTGGAGGCGCGAACAAACTCGGCTTCTCTCCTCGAAGCTTTGTGTATATATCGTGATATAGATGTCGGACAACCTCTGTGAGTGAGCTGCCTCGAGCAACTCGAACAGCTTCTTCGTCAACTTGGCGCCAGATCCCTGCCGCAAGGAAGTGCCGAACTCTCGGACAGGCACAAACCTTTTCAAGCGGCGGCGCTGGTATTTTCCCCTTCTTTGCCGATATGCTCTCATGTACCAAGCGCCGGCTCGGCAAGTTCTGAAACATCCTTTGCTTCGCCGAGTGTGATAGGAACGCCGTGGAGCTGTGACAGGCGTTCCTCCTCCTTCTTCTTTTGAAGGGCCTCGGTCTCCTTCCGCAGCTTCTCCAAGTTCCAGGCGTCGTCGTCCCCCTCGTCCTCGGAATCGAGATCGGCCTCCATTCTCCAGTTGCCACTTTCGAACATGGCACGACCAGTCGCTTCCTTGGCCTTCCTTGCGGCTTCCTCGGCAGCCTTCTTGTCGAGACGCTCCTTCTTCCACTTGGCGAAGCTCTCCGGCGTTACGGGGGTGAGGGTGCCGGTAAGCTTGTGCCTCTCGGACTCAAGGAACTCCTCGAGCGTGAGGGTCCTGAGAGGCGACTTGTCCAACAGCGCCTTCTCAGCCGCCCTTTGCTCCTTGGTCTTGAGAACGAACCTACGGAGATGGTGTTAGTGGCGTGTAGAACCTAGCAATGCAGAATCCCAACTTACCCAGGCGGCAGAGCATGCTTATACATGCACTTATCTCCTCCGTTCGGGCAGACCCAGAACCAACCGTACTTGCCCTCCTCAATCGCTTCGATAAAGAACTTGCACACCTTGTCTGTGGTGGTGCGCTGGTTGCCCTTCTTCGACAGGACGACGGAACGCAACTTTTCTTCGTCCCAGTCCGCTGAGGTCTCCTGCTTCTTCTTGTCGTCTTCCTCTGCTCGTGTATCCTGGTACAGATTCCTCTTCTCGACCTTGCGCTCCATCTCCAAGTCGTGGGAGAACTTGCACTTCTTGCCCTTTTCGCAGTTGCCCTTCTTGAAGAAAATGCAGACGACCGTCTTGGGGTCGACACCAAAGGGAACCTTTTGAATCTGGGCGGGCTTGTTGAGAAGCAGATCGGCCTCCCTTTTGGCATCCTCAGCGGCCTTCTTCTCGCGCTCACGCTGCGCCTTCTCGGCCTCCTTGCGCTTCTGCTCGGCATTTCCACCGTTCTTCATCGAGGCCTGCAGGGCGGCAATCTGCTTCTGGGCGGCGGAACCCTTCTTGTTCTTCATGCCAAACGTCTTGTCTTCGACGGCCTTGCCGGTCTTCTTGCCGGCGGCCTTGGGATCCTGCTTCTTGGGAGGCATGGTGGGCAAATATCGCGATCGGGAATCGAAGAGTCGAGTTTGTGTATTGTCGTGATGCGCAAATTAATGGATCACGGATATAAATCGAGTCGCTGTCGCAGCGGGGGTGGTGGCAGACGCGTAGGGCGTGATTAGATCGTGTTGTCGCAGCGACCTTCAAAAGATTTGCAGACGAAGGCGGGGATCTCGATCAACTCTTTCAAGAGTTTGGAGGCAACTCGAAGTGGGTGGGCTGAAACAACTTTAACCAAATGGGCCCGTTGACGCCGCCCCGGGGTTTAAAGCGCTGGGGGAATCCGCCCACAGAAGCCCTGACGTTGGCCCGGGCAGCGCAGCCGGGTCATGCAAGGATGAGGTCCTTCAGCTTGGCGCCGTCCACGTGACTTGGTCGGGTCTCTCTGTAAATGACGGATGGAGAAGTACCGATACACCTGGCGCTGCGTCGCGGCCCTCAAGGTGGAAAGCTGTCCATAACACCTGGACCCGACATAACCACCTTTGACGTCGCAGTCCGCCCGGTACAGCACAAGTACGATAGTGCAATTGGCATCAGCAAGAAAAAGTCAGCAGGACATTTTTATTTCTCCATCTGGCTGTCTGACAATTCAGCATATTGACAGCTTCTTGAGCAACAGAACAGCGTCCCCAAGACCCACTTCAACTCCCCTCCAAGCGCTGCGAGTCGCAACAAGTCTATAGCTACCTGTCAGCACCGAACAAACCCCCGACACCGACTTTCTCTACGCCAACGACACAATGATTTCCGACGCCGAACTTTACCGTCTCGCCATCGTCCTCGGATGCTCGGCCATGATTCTCATTGTCCTTCACTCATTCCTCGAAGCCAACGCCGGAGATCTCGAAACCGACATCGGCAAGGAGAAGAAGGTCGCAAAAGTGGCAGCAGTCCCGGCTAAGGCGAAATAAGACACAACAGGCACGAAACTGTACGATAGGACGGCGAAAGCTACATTTCGAAAACACGTCCGATACAACCTTTGCGACACTTGGCTTGAGCGAGGCAGAAAAGGAGAGAGACTACAGCTCTCCCTCTGACTGAGGAGAGAGTAAGAGACAGCAGGCCCGTGGCGCAACCGATATGCAAAGGAAGAGGACTCCGGCACACAGAAAAGAGATACGGGGACAAAGAAAGAACGGAAAGCTACAAGGTCTCGGACCCGGAAGGATTGAATGGGCCACAGTTAGTTAGTTGATACCCCATGGTTGGTCCAATGCGCAGGAGCAGACCACAGCACTGCATTTCAGTTCTTGTTCGGATCATGGTGTATCGTGGATGTCACCAGTCAGCAGCAACTGCCTCACGCCCTGGGAAGCATGACTGGCTAGAGTAATAACTTGGTTTGTTATTTCTTATGCGCAAGGGGACAGTTCTTTGTTTCCGCTTGTGAAGGGGCTCAATTGCAAACGTCCCTGAAGCAAGAGCTTGTCTTGTGGTGTGGTGGAAGTATGAACCATGGAAACACCGACTCAAAGCTCCCGTCCCACTTGTTGAGCCGCACTGGAAAATGAACGGGTTGCTGAGAGTGGTGACACGTCTCTGGAGTCTGGCATCCGGCGCAGGTACCGGTACCATACCAGCCCAGCTGCGTCAGAGTGGCAGAACAAAAGGTCTAGCTCCAAACAGATTAGCGTTCGAGTGAGTGCTAGACCTAGCGGCCAACGCGATTGCCACAAGGCTGTGATTGGCGGTAGGGTGGCCAGTGCAGGGATCACATCCTAGAGGTATGTAAGCGCGTGTGGCCCGTGTGGCCTGCTCAGCCTGCCAAGCCTCCACTTGACGAAAGCGCAGACCGGTTTCTGCTCCCTCCTCTCCCCCTCGTTCACCTCTTTTGTCCACTCACCACTTTATCACCTAACAACACCACCTATTTCCCATCACCTCCCATCATCACCGCCAAAGTCCGTCGCCGACAAATCCCATCCGCTCAGACCCATATTCATTTCATTGCTCGCAGGCCTGCATCCAACTTCGCCAGCCTGACCACACACGTCCACATCTTCACTTGCCATTCGAGTCGATCAGATCAGAGTCGCTGCATCATCTCCCGTTGCAGCGCGACCCTTCACTCCATCTCGACTTCACGCGACCTTGCGCTACCAGCAAGTCGTAATCTGACCTCCTTACCATCCATCTGCCCAACGCGACCTTCGCCAGCTCTACTGCGCATTTAAAGTCGCCTCGCGCCTCCTAATTTCTGAAGCCATCTTGACCACACGTCTCGTCTCTCTCTCACCACTTTTAATTCACTTTCAAGCACCACCGCCACAATGTCCGGAAAGCTCGACCAGTCTCTCGACGAGATCCTCTCCACCCAGCGCCGCGGCAAGTCCAACGCCCGTGGCCGTGGAGGCCGCCGCTCGGCCGGCGGTAAGCCCGCCAATGCTGCCCCCGCTGGCGGTATCCAAAAGAACACAAGGCCCGCTCGCAACGCTGCCAAGCCGGCGCCCGCCAAGAGTGCTGGTTTGACCGGCGAGAGCAAGATTGTCGTCAGCAACCTGGTGAGTCGCGTCCTCCAGCTTCCCCCGCGTCGCATCCTTCACCGCTAACTCTCGCTGTAGCCCAAGGACGTTTCCGAAGGCCAGATCAAGGTATGTTATTACCGATGAGGCCATTTAGCCTTCGGACTTTTATCGACATCCCTCTTGCGTGGCATATCCAATCGGCCTCATTTTCTCCCCACTGGGCGGTCGGGACGGTCGTTTATTGCAACTCGCCACTAGGCCATCAAGACTGCTGTTGATTGCTCCTCCCTGACGCGTGTCACTACATGCCGTCATGCTGCGAGTTGAGCAGATCCCCATCACGCTCTCTCTCCTTATCATTATGGTGGCTGGCAAGCGCCTCTGGTTCGGAAATGAGCAAGCTGTGCAGGATCCAGCAGGCAAATCTTGTATGAGCTGGGGGACATGCGGTATCTCTTCCTGGCTGGTCACCTTGAAGACGGTTTCTGCACTCCAGCGCGCTACGCAGTGAGCAATGTTTTGAGATTCTGTTTCTCACGTCCTGACTGGACGATTTCTGGGGGTTTCCGGTCCGTCAGGAGATGTGCAACTCCGGGGAACTGGGTCTTAGCACCGTGGTTGTTGGGAAATTCTACGAGAGGACGGCATCACATCAACTGGAACACGCTTGGACTGTCTGGCATATCTGGATCTATTCACACTGTCCTTCGCTTCACGGGTTGTGAGCCCGGACGTGTCGGATCGTATGGATGGCTCTAGTCAGTGCTGGATCTTTGGCTCACCTGCCAGTTGCTGGTGTTGCTGACCCGGAGATTACGCACGCTGCTCTGGCTATCCTGGTTTTGGGCCGTCTCGAGATCATGCCCTAGCTTTGACCGTTTTGAGACCGAACCGCTACGGACACGACCATACTGAAACTCGCGCATAACGCTAACCACGAACTACCCTGTGATAGGAATACTTCCAGCAAGCTATTGGACAGGTCAAGAGGGTGGAACTTTCGTACGGGCCCGGAGGCGCCAGCCGCGGTATTGCCCACATCACCTTCCACCACGCCGATGGTGCTACCAAGGCGTACAACGCCCTTAACGGTCTCCTGATCGACAACCGCCCGGTCAAGGTACGCTCGTTTTCCATCACATAAACTTTCAGTTTCCAAGATCGCTAACGTTCCCACAGGTCGAGGTCGTCGTTTCCAATGCCGAGTTGATCCCTCAGCCCAAGAGCTTGACTCAGCGTATCACTCAGCCCAAGGCCCAGCCCAAGTCTGCCGCCACCGTCAAGCACGCTGCCAACACCCCCAAGGTTGCTGCTGCTACTAAGCCTGGCAACAAGAAGGGCCCCCGTCGCCCTCGTAACGCCCGCCCTGCCAAGAAGACTGTCGAGGAGTTGGATTCCGAGATGGCTGATTACTTCGAAGGTGGCAACACCGATAACGCCAACGGAGCCGCGCCGGCCGCTGCTAGCGGTGGCGATGCTCCCATGGAGGATGAGATTCTCTAAACAAAGGGTGTGCATGAGGAACAGCGACAGTCGATGAGAGCGAATACCCGCTTCAGCGGCGATTTCGCTTGACGGATTTCGGATAGTCTATGATTGTTTTACTATCTTTTCGGGTACGGGCAGGGTTTTCAGCTTAGGTCAACAGCTTGGTGCAATTTCTTTCCAGACTCACGACGACCTTCAAATCACCGCTTCTCCACTACACTTAACGGGAATGTTGTATCATCTGCGACCGGTTCGCTACGACGTACCACCTCGCACATGCCGTTTACGATCCCTTTGATGGGAGATGGATAACGGCAGGACGCGTCTGCGAAAGGGGCAAAGGCCACTCACTATTCAGTGCTGCCATCACCCATTGATCACCTTTTGAGCGTTCCGTATTCCTCGCTCGGTACCTTAGCCCAGGGCAATAGGTGCCTCTCCGGATTACTAGTTCGCCTCTGCTATTGGACGTGTTGGTGCATAAGGGGGATATATGTCGGCGAAGCGAAAGCAACATCACCGTGCGTGTTTTATGTGGCGATGCCCAAGAATGAATCTAGCGTGCGAAGAGGTTTGCCCTTGTGTATTTTATCAACACAGCGTTATCTGCGGAGGGCAAATTGGGCATCACAAGATAGGAGTCAGCTCAAACAGCTGTAAAAGCCCAGATCAATGATCCCGGGAGGAAAAGGAGGAAGTTAATGCCATGATGCCTCAAATTTTCCCACCACCATAAACAAGTAAATGTTCCATGTGCCTGTCGTGAATTGTAATTGTATGGTGTCCCTCCTTCCCCGCCGTTCCATCATGATTCAGTGGTAAGCGGTTGTTCCTCCTCCTTCCCACTCGGCATCTCACCAGCAGCAGAAGCACAACCTGAATGTTTCTGCCTCTTCTCCTTCTCCTTCTCCTTTCCGTTTGCCTTGTCTTTCTCCTTCTTATTCTTCTTCTCCATCTTCCTCTGTTTCTTCTCACAGTTCTGGCACAACACGGCTTCCGTAACTGTCTTGGTTTCGATGCCTCCCGCGCATTGGCCAATGCGCTCTCCTCTGTATTTTGGCCTGCAAGGGTACTCTGTCGAGCGGCCTTGGACGAGATCATCGCAGGAGGTGCAGTAGGAGTCGATGAAGTGTTTGATGCACATCTTGGTTCGTGGGGGGGTGGGGGGGGGGGGGGGACGTGTGGTGAGGGAGTTGTGTAAATCTGTGGTGCTCCGGTTATGGATGTTCGGATGCGAGGATAGGTAGAAAGTGAGCGCTTGGTTGTTGTTGTTGTTGTTGTTGTCAAGAGAGGTTGCAGTCCAGTGTTGTTGTTGTTGTTGTTGTTGTTTGTTGTTGTTGTTGTTGTTGTTGGCTTGTTGTTGTTGTTGTTGTTGGTGTTGTTTGTTGTTGTTGTTGTTGTTGTCAAGAGAGGTTGCAGTCCAGTGTTGTTGTTGTTGTTGTTGTTGTTTTTGTTGTTGTTGTTGTTGTTGTCAAGAGAGGTTGCAGTCCAGTGTTGTTGTTGTTGTTGTTGTTGTTTGTTGTTGTTGTTGTTGTTGTTGGCTTGTTGTTGTTGTTGTTGTTGGTGGTGTTTGTTGTTGTTGTTGTTGTTGAAGTTTGTTTCTTATCGTTCTTGTAGTTCTTGTTCGGAGTTGTGAGTTATGTTATGGAAAACCTAGAGTGTGTGGATGTGGATGAGCAGCTGGAATTAAGTACTTGTAGATGTACAAGACAGCAGCAATAAAGATCAACGGTTATAGATATCCTATTGTGTCTCTGCGACAATAGCCGGGTTGTCATGGTCGAGTTGTCGGCGAATGAGTGAATTGGATGGGTTAGCTCGCAAGGTTTTATTCTGTTTGTAAATAGGGTTGAGGTATGGAGTAGAATAGCTTCTCAGTTACTGCTGAATCACTTCCGCTGCCGGCCATTTTCATCTCGTGGTTGCAAAGTAGCAGAGTCTATGAGGTTCAAAGGCACTGCTGGTACAGCCACTCGTCACTCAGGGGTTCCGAAGGAATAATGATGGTATATGTGTGTGGAGGCCCACGATGTTGGTGTCGAGGAAGTTAGTTCTGCGAGGCTTTATGGTCCACACTCAGCCATCGACCGCCAGCTAAATATAAAGCTATCATAATGCATCTTTGACTACGACAATCACTTTCTTTCTCTTTTCTCAAAGAAATATTTCTTGTTACATACATGACCGACTTTGAGCGATGACCTTCAGAGCTATATTCCCAGTCTATTCCCTCTGGGCAAGTTGAGAGGCTCATCACAATACAAGATGGAAGGACCACTTGTCGTGTTTAGCTTGATAGGTCCGTCACTGTACAACTAGTCACGATGGCCTTTCAAACTTTAAGCTTAGAAGCCATCCTTTTCGCGAGACAGACGTTGGTGGTATTGACAAACGGTCACCTTTTGAGCAGACACTGTCGAGTACAAGAAACATTCGCCATGCCCAAGTAAGCCTCTTTACATACACCTTATCTACCTGGAAACCTGCGTGTAATCCCCTTCCATTTCCGTTCCGTTTTCGTTTTTATTCCCCTTTTCCTTCCTTGAACAATGCCTACCTGCACCCAACAAAAGATCAAGATCCCTCTTTTCCGGCTTACCCTGTATCCCCCTTTCCCCTTCCAAGAACAATTCAAATCTTGGGAGCAACCCACACCTCATCAGCCGGCCAAGCCAAGATCGCCGCCCCCATCTGCGCATCTCTCGCCGCCTCGCCAGCCGTATATGGGCCAGATGCTGATGAAGGCGACGACGCGGAGGAAGAAGAGCGGCTGCTGGTCGTGCTGGAGGTGTTGGTATTGATGGTGATGGTGGGGCCTAGACCCGCGAAGCTAGAGGCGGCGCTGGAGTATGGCGATGGTGTCGAAGAATGGTGTGAGTGCGAGTGTGAGTAGTGGGAGAAATGCGAGCCGCTTCTGCTGGAGGACGTGCTGTATGTGGAGGAGTTTGAGCTGCGGCGGGAGGAGGTAGTGGAGGGGGCCATTTTGAAGGTTGGGTGGGTTATTTAAGCCGCTTTGTGGCTTGTGGACTTGGAATGTTCGAGATTTGGCTGACTATGGAGCTGAGTATTAAGTGGTTTGGTGTTGCCACCTGGACTTGAAGGTTGGAATTTGTTGGTGTATATGGGTTCACTTCCCGAATCAGCGAAAAGGTCTGTTAAGGGGTGTAAGCGACTTGGGTAACTAAGGTAAGAACAACGAGAGCGGATAGAAGGAACAAAGGAAGCCTGGGGATAGGAGACATGAAATATATATAGGAAGTCGTATACGAGGTTATGGAGAATTGGTGAAACACCTGACACCGATATTGGTAGGTATGGTCACGGAAAAAGGCAAGTTGACAAGATGGTGACTCGTTCGTCCTTCCCAAGTATCCATCCCGTCTCGACAACAAGACCAAGCTCTTTGAGCATTCAACGGGAGTAATTCTGGGTGTGAAATAAAGAGAAAATCATTGAGAAATTGTAAAGATGCTTGACTGACCTTGTCTTCGTTCTTGGTGCCAGTTATGCAGCCTCCCTCTTAAAATCTCATCGCTTCTTTTCGTTTGTTGCACTTTGGTTCGGATGAAAAAGCAACTGTCGCACGTTATCTTCCTCTTGTCTTATGCAGCCTGTAGTGTCGAGCGTAGTGAATTAAAGCCGTGGCGAATTCTTCGGTGTATTTGAAAATCCAAGTGAGGATGAACTGGCGTCGAGGAAAATAACTAGTCTCCCCAGGCGGTTTCCTCTTTCTCTTATACGAGGAGGCCTCTATAAAAGTTATTCCTTGTACATGCGCCGCAAAGCTGCTGGATCTAAAGCACAAGTGCCGCAAAGTTTGTCCGAGACAGACTGGAATGCGAGAAGACATAGGTGCGAGTTTAGTAAGAAGCAAGATGAGAAACCAGCAGCAAGCACAGTAACAATACGAGAGTAAACACTACGACCACCCACCGCCTCCACCCGACACTGGCGGTTTTCGTCTGAGTGTCTGTCTATCTGGAACAGACGGGGCTGCCTGTGGGTCTGAATCATGATGTTTGGTGTTCCTCAAGACCTTCCTTTTATATCGAATTCCATCCCGACCACAGCTCATACTAGTTGACCATCCCAGCTTGGCATCACAGACGCTAGATCTAAGAGTGTAGAGTAGTGTGGAGATAATGTGACGAAAGATGGAGAGACTCAGCAAGTTACTTCAAAAAGTGGATAGTCAGTGTAGCAATTGACAATACTGGCGGCAAAGCCCTAGAACGTCTTCCAAGACGAGGGAGCAGCTGCTGCATTGACCGCCAGGGCATTGACATCGAAGAGACCAGCACGGCGCCGGGGGGTGGGGGATATGGTAGGAATGGCGAGGTGCCTCATCGCCGGAAAAGAAGCAACGTTCGAGATGGGAAGAGGCAGATGAGACCTCCCATTGAGAGACACTCGCCGTAGGACTGATCCAAAGAAACCCGAATCTAACTGGAGGTCATGTCCTCGACCGGGAATTAAGCCACTGATCTTATAGAGAGCAAGACATCGCAATATCGGCATGCGATATTCCCGTCGTGCTGCTTTCGAAAGACGGACGACGATAGGGTACCAATGCGATGGGTTTGCAGCCTCACTTGAAAGCACTGCATACAGTTTCTGGTGACTGAAAAGGCGTGAGAACGAACTGGTGGCGATAGGTGCACGTTCGGCTTGAAAGAGAGCCAACCAAGTACTATGCCCTTCTTGAGCTCCCATCGATTTCCCAAGACCTGCTTCGTAGAAGCGCCGCAAACCGGAAAGATGATGCGAGAAGGGAGACACCGAGCTGAGACCGACGATAATAACTAGACTTTCGGTGACAAGGGGTGGACGCAAGTCTCTATCCGTGGGGAAGATACAGGCCCGCAATCGTCACGTACATTTTGCAAATTCGGGATCGAGGGTTGCCTAGAAAAAAAATGAGCATGATTTCATTCGCTATAAGATCCTGCTAGGTACCGAAATCAAAGTACTCCATAAAACCCGTTCCAGTTATTCATCCGGCGTTAAGATTCCATCTCTGGAGCATCGGGGAATGGGAGGGTATGTGTAAGTATATCCTGTCGTTATTCCCAATGCCCAGATCTAAACATTAAAGCCCACTACCTCGGGGCTTGGGTATGCCTATTGCTTTGCTTTTTCGAGTATTCACGCAGTCTCCTTTGATGTGTCAACAGCCTCCTTGGCCTCCTTGGCCCCCTCGGCCTTGTCAGCCTCATTCTCGCCCTCGAGAGGAGGCATGTCATCGTCGGAATCCTCGTCATCGTCGTCACCGCCGGGCATCCCACCGCCGCCGAGCTTGGAGAAGTCGATGCCGCCGAAGTCACCGCCTGTGTAAATTCAAGTTAGCAAATTGGCCAAGGATAACCAGGAGAGAACACAGCCGCTAGGTAACTCTTGGAGATATGACTCTTGGAGGTGTCCGCGTTGTCTCAGGTATGGTCGATGCCACATGTCCCTCCCCGTTCAACTGGGAGTGTACGTACCCATGCCGCCCATACCTCCGATACCACCGTCCATGCCGCCCATGCCACCCATGCCTGGCATACCTCCTGCAGGTACGCAATATATTTAGTTTTGAAATGAATAAGGACGGGGGGTCAGGGGGGCTTGGCTCGGAGTGGATGCGACCAGTGGCGCAAATGGCACAGAGTCAAATCACAAGCGGGCGGGGAAAAGGGTTAAAGAACTAGTACTCACCCATACCGCCAAAGTTGCTGAAGTCGTCCTCAGCGGCCTCGTGCTGCTCATCCTCATCAACCCACTTGTCGAAGTCGGTCTTGAGGAAGTGGACCTTCTTAGACTCCTTGAGGAGACGGGGCCAGTAGGAGGCATCGAGCTCCTTCTTGCGAAGCTTCATCTCAACATCGCGGGCAGTGTGGTTGACCTTGCTCGCAGAAGGGTCGATCTCGGCGTAGAACTCGAGCTCGACGTGGTAGGTCCTCTTGAGGGTGTCGGAGTGGCCAGTGAAGACGAGACCAGTGGGCTTGAGGTCGAGCTTGAGGTTGGAAGTAGGGACGTCGGGAACGCCAATGGTGAGGTAAATGAAGTTGCTCTCGGGGTCGGTGGCAGAAGAGCGCTGAGCCCAGAGAACTGTAGAATTGGAATCCATTGTCAGCAAATCGGGTATATACAATGCGACAGGAAGCGCAGCTCTTGGTAGATACGAGACATGAGAGGCGATCTCGAGAGGGGTAGCCCGGGCCGGCCAGCCTGCCAGCCTGCCAGCGAGCGAGCTAGCCTCGAACCACCCGCAAGAACAGGACCACGTGGGGCAGGAGAAGCAGGTACTCACCCTCAGGTGTTACGTTGGAAGCCATTGTGATGATGGTTGTGTTTGTGTGTGAAGGTGTCGTTGAGGAGGGGTAGCTAGCTAGCTTCTGTATGCAAAAGCGCTTAGAGTGGTAGATGTGCAGGTGTTTGTGTTGTTGTTGCTCTTTTTGGTATTCCAAAAGGCGATGCCACAACTAGAGTCGTCGTCAAAAGGTCGTTCGTTGTCTTGTGGTAGAATGAATTGTAGTCGAGGATAAAAGCTGGAAAGGGAAGATGCAGGAAAAGAGGTGGTGGGTTGGCAGTGAGGCTGCAGCAATTTAGCAATCATGCTTGCCTTGTCGTCCCCTTCGGTCTCCAATGGTCCCCGGGCCCTTCTCTAGGTGGGTGACGGTGGAATTCGTAAGAAGCCTGAAGATTCCCGCGCGGGGCGTTGACGCAGGGCTGAGCTTCGACGCTCCATCAGCTGTTGCTCCAACTGCTCCAACGGCCCCAGCTGTGCTCCTTCCTGGACTCCAAGTGGAGAAGTGACGAGGTGGTCCCAAACAGCAGACGAAATCTTGGGAGCTTTCTAGAATCTAGACTTGGTATCCCACAAAGGCAAAACAGCAAAAAATCCTTCTCACACCAACTGGAAGAATCAACAGAGGACGAGCAAGCGAACAACCTAAGCATATGTGTTCTGAGCCTTGTGTACCTTGTCTCCGGTATACAAATGCCTTCTAGAACTATGCCCTTTTAGCTACCTAAGGTATAGCCATGTGATTGTGGTTCGCATACCTTAAGGGTGGGGCCGGGGTCACCAAAGCAACACAGGGCAACACCTACCTAACAGTATCAATTACCTTAGGCAGGTACCCTGTGTTATCCACCAGTCGTACAATATGTGGCTTTCATGGCAGGACATGGTGATTTCATGTAGGGTTTGAACAACCTTACAGAGGTTTTCCTCCATTGTCCTGCAGTAGTGGTATCTGAGGTTATTCCCAAAAAGCCAGACACTCCTTGTTGGCCCCAATCCGCAGCACCATCGCGGGGCGGATAGCCGCTAGCGGCCAAGGATTCCAACAGGCAAGCGCTGCAGGCCAGGCAATCCAGGGCAAGCTTGGCGGGTGGTAGACCCCGAGTGGGACCTGTGTGGTTCGCTCCCCCAGAGCAGCCTCCAGGTGCAGCTACAAGCCACAGGTCCAGGCACCTCAGCGCAGAAAGACGGGAACAGCCAGACAGACCACTGAACCTCATGGTGTGTGAGGTTCACGCGGCCTCACCTACTTGGGGGTTGTGGTGCGGCCTGGGACTTTTCCTCAACTCCCTCTTCATCAAAGAGGGGGAATAAAAATTCTAGGACAACCTTTTATTTTGAGACATCTGAAATACTAGGATGCGTCATAGAAAATTGTTAGTGAGAAGATGCAACGTCTATATAAGGCCATCATTATTTTTCAAAAATTTAAGAAAAATTATAAAGATCGAAAGCGCTCTAATAAAGCTACTCAAAATATTGCATCAAGTTTGGCTCAATCGTTATTAAAATATTTTAGAATTCTTAATTTTGTTATTATTGAAGTGTAATTTAGTTTGGCGGTTTTGCGATACTAAAACGACAATCTTCAATA